ACGGCTTTCTGGGGTCTTCATGGATGCGCGAACTTCACGGATTAATTGTCCAATCTCGCTTACCTCGTCCAGACATGGTGGACGACGTCCAATATCCGGATTAATGCGCACGTAGCGCGAAGGACTGCTACTCGTTGCGCACATGTCAGAGCGAAACTTATCCCACGCTTTCTCGGCGTCGAGAATATTGTCCATGAGGTTTCGCTGCCGATTTGTTCAGCACAGTTCTCAGAAGTCTTCGCGTCGCAATTGAAGCAAATCTTGGAAGGGCGTACCATTGTAGAAACGATCTGAGGCATCGTGTGAAAAGTAGGTTGTCGGGCACTTTCTTCATCAGTACGTTCCACTTAACTGCTTGTTGAGGCACATCTTGAGAACCCGGAAGACTAAGACATGTAACGTTGAATATGCTTACTTTAACTCAGAAGCCATTGCTGTCGCGTCGGGCTGGCCGGCTTGCACGTCCGCCTTGTTTTGACTTGTGCCTATCGAAAGGAAGAGATCGGGGTCTTGACCAGCTACATCGGGCCAGAGCAGCTTTCTCTCATGGTTCATGAGCCGGACGGGATTGTTGTGGTAAAGCGCGCCGTCTAAGTATGTGCGATAGGTATGAGCGTGCTCGAACGGCTTGAAAAAGCTGGGGGCAGCCGATGTGGCAGCTGCCGCGTCTGCGATGGAGAAGCCGAACTTTGGCCGATCTGGTCGCAGAAACTCATACTCTGCGGGGCGTAGTCTTTTCTTGTCGCCCTCCGGCCGGCTGTAGTTCGCAATAACGATCGCTTTAGACCCGGTTTTGTCCGTCGCGGTCACGGCGACCTTTGTGTTGAGATACGAGCTCCGTTCTCCATAGTTGCCGAAAAGATGTTCTTGCCCGAATTCTCGCGTCAAAGTCTCTCTGAGAGGGCCAGTCGAATACTTGGAAGCAAGCCTCAGCGTTATCAGGTGTCTCAAGAAAGGGATGTTGTGCAACATCCGCGGCGTGAAAGCGGTACTGCACAGCTTTCTGAACTTATCAGAGCAGCGCCTAAGGCTCCAAGCTTTAGCAACCATTGCTAGCGCAATGATGCCACCAGTACTACGAAGTGTGAGCCTTGTGGTATTTACGACTACTTGGAATCTTACCTCGTTCCCATAATCAAATCGAAAAATGCCTGGATGGGAATTTTGTCACCAATTTGGTTTTGGAGGGCTCTTAACACTTCGAGTTCAACGATTCCACGGATGCCACCACTTTCTATATGTCAGCGTCTCGAATAAAGTCGAGCAATTGAAAGAGGAAATGGGGGTAGAGATCGATGGATATGGGTATACGAGGCCATTGCTTGCTTCACCCGGGGTTGAAGGGCGATGAAGAGCTCTCAATAGAAGCTAGAATTGACTCACCCATCAAGACATAGGAGGCGAACTCCCGCGTGTTCAGGCTTAAACCTAATGAGGCATGGCACTTCCCAATCCGTTTTCTTCGGGTGTAAAGGGCAGCAGTCTAGTCTGATAACGGAGCTCGTGCTACTATTGTCGTGCAGAGGCTGTCCATGGGCTCGCACACACTGCGTGCAGAGTACATGACCGCAACGAAGAGCGTGCTCAGGTGACTGCATAAGACAGCAGAAGCATGTGGCGTAACTCAAAATCCCACCAGCTGAACCCAAAGAAGCATCATAACAGCTCACCATGTCGTCGCGATGGATCTGCATCATGTAAGCTTCCTTGGAATAGCTTGGGGATCGTTGCGAGGCATTCTCTAGTTCGCAATCGATGTTGCGCATCTGCAACCGAATTTCCTTCTTCCAAGATGGTAGATAGCCTTCTGGGTTGATCCTGGACACAAATTCGCCTGGTTTTATTCTGCCTCTAGCGTCTTGGTGCCCTTTCGGGTTGTGATTGGCAGCGACGTTTACGCATTGATACGAACCGTTGCGGAATTCACAGGTGAGATGTTGACTCCAAAATGTCTCTACTGAGAACTGGCAGTAGTCCGTGTAATGAGCGAAGTGATCTAGAGCAGAGCCTGTCGTGCGTCAGAAGTAGCAAAGACGAATAATTGGGGAATAGGAGAAACGGTTGGCGAAAAGAAGTCCAGTAGCACCCGCCGGAGAAGGCAGTAACCAGAGACTAGGCTCAGAGCTACAATAATACTGCACTGGCCATAGTTGCTGCGTCGGCATTCTCGCGTCGGCCAGGCGCTCGCAATGAACATCTTGTATGTCGACCCTCAAAGCAAAACTATGCAAAAGAACTGTCACGTACCTTTTCGATGACGGACACAATCTAGAGAAATACTAGAAGCCACAAGTCTAGCCATGCGATCGAATATGAGCGTAGCTTTGCGCGTCGTCTCAAGAGCGGGTGTATTAAGCGCGATTTGCTTGTCATGGGCCTCTATGGCCAGGGCGAGCTGAAGCATATGGCCACCAAAATCATTGGGTATCGGATTATTGCGCAGAGACATGGTAACAAAGTCGAAAGGCATAGTGAGTGTCCGTGAGAAATGACTGAACACTGACTGGAAATGCGTATCCAACTCAAAAGATTTGAAGAGCATGTTCGCTCGTTTCCGAGTATTGAAGGACCTTTCGCACGATTTCGTGATTACTTGGTGAAGTCGATCGACCTGATCGTGCAATAGCCGATATCGACCTCCGCGTGGTATGCGTATAACTTGAAATGTGGAGTAGTAGCATTGTATGAGTTCCAGAATGGTTCTGACGCGTCGTCCTCTTTCTTTCCAGGTTTTGACGAGACTGATGAAGAAGGGGTGTCCATGTCTTGGATGAATACAGTGTTTGTTGGCCGCTAACAAGCTGTCTGTTGCCGATTCGTTGTCCCATTCATATGGATTGGCGCTCGGCCCACATTGGTTCAGTGCAATAACGGCGTGTGGAAGTGTTGGTTGATTAACCGATGTCTCCAATGATGCTTCTGCCCATTGCAGTAAAGGTTGTAGAGTTGTGACTTCGAATGTTCTAAGTAATTATAAGCAAAAAGAGCCCAATAGGAGACCTTACACATACTTGGAGTTCGTGCCATGCATAACAAAGACCACAACATCTGAAAGAGTGTAGAGAATGCGTGGGTAAAGCTCTTTCACGATATATCTTCTTCTTGCCCTCTCAGTATCTGCAGTAGCCCATGCCAATGATCGCATACGGCCTTCACCCAGTTGCGCATGGATGCGTTCGGGATTCGACCGCGACCTACGATTCTCATGGGCACCGATCGGCGGATTCTCTCCGCCTTCTAAGCCCTCACAGTCTGCGTACAGTAGAGGTGTTCGAGAATCGGTGCTCATTGGGTCTGCGTACAGATGTACGTCGGCCGATGTTGGAGTGTGCTCCACTGGATCGTTACCGAGCCTCTCATGTCCAGACTGTGGCTCTAGACGCTTCAAGCCAACAACAGGAGAAGGATAGCGTTCCTTCAGACCACCGGTCCCTTGCAACTGAATGAGCATCTTTATTAATGTACTTTTCCCAGCATCTGGTGCGCGGTTAGTCTCGAAAAGTTAACGATACAATTGATGGGTCCGTTACTAGTTTGGCCGATGAAAGATACCAGTTGCGGGTATTTTTCTTTTCCATTTTTGAGCGGGTTACACAACAAGGCTGAATACACATCATAGTCGAAAAATTGTTGACGGTCTGACTGGTCGCCTCTTCTATGGAGGCTGTCGTAATGTTCCGGATCGTTGTCTCTTTTTATTCCTGAAAAGAGGTCAGTAGTTATAAGAACTCTTATCAAGGAACAAATTGTACCAAACCAGGTAGTGGCCAGGTCGTCCTCGTGGAGTTCTTCCATTTTGTCTTCGTCGTATTGTGGATCCAGTATGCTCTTGAGTTTCGCATACACATGATACTCTACCTTCTCGTGCGATCCATCTCTTCCTTTTTTCCCGCCACGGTGCGCCAAAAAGTGTTGCCAACACGGGTCGCAGAACTCACAGGCACAGTCCACACAATACCAGACCTGGGCACGATTGCGGGTACAACCTATACCGCGGCTCTCGCAGTCGTTCAGTGGCCGTTGCATGGTCTTGGAAAGTCCTTAGGCGGTCGTGAAAAAGACAAGGTCGTTAGGAAGTTGCGGGGAAGTCATTGCGGCAAAGATTACCTATGCCAATGTTCAGCCTCACGCGGGCGCCGTGCTAAGCTGCATATCCATCCAATCGACACTATGCGGTAAGTGCACCTATGAAGCTTGCTGCTGCATGTGGAATCGAAACCAGGCGAATCGAAGTGCATGCCGCCAGCCACACAATCGTTCATTACCGGCAACTCCGCCACTTGTATTGACCGGTCGCCAGAGTGAAGCGACACGATGGCGAGCAGGCGAACCGTGTCGCGTGCGTCACTGCATCATCGCGATACGACGAGTACTGATCGCCAGCCTGATATACCATTGCAAGGTTATAGGGTTGTTAGAAACGAGTAGCATGTAAGCATCGTGGTGGATGCTGGACGGCGGTGGCACATCTAAGGCAACTGCGCACAGACCATGCCTGCCTGCCTGCCCAACCTGATCGATGCAGAGCGTCACTGTGTCTACTCTTTCGTCTTCCGGCTGGATACCTAGGTACCCAGATGCAACCTCGTATTAGCAAAAGCTCGGGAAATGAGCGAAGACTACAGCATGGCTGGCGAACCGATAACTCCGTTGCAGGCGCGCTCTTTGTTGCGCGTTGTAAGTAAAGAGTCGCGCAGACAAGACAGCCTTGCAAACAAGCCCGCCATCTAACGCAGTATGCGAGATGCAGTCGCTTGGGTTGCGGATACAACATGTGAAGAAAGCTCAACGCAAAGAAACTCGATGCTGTTGGTCGCGTTGCGCCGAAGAGGAAGAAGAAAGTTGAGGTGGGGGCGCGCCAGCTCCGCAAGCGGCAGAGGAGCTTGAAGGCGGTCTGCTTCCACCATGCAGAGTCAAAGGCCTCTGAACGCTGTCGTACAGTCTCTTCACAAAGAATAAAATTTCCCTACCAACGCCCGACTCAGCACGAAACAGACATCATGCCTTCCATGGCGAGCTCCATCCACCCCGACTTCCGCGACGACGTCACCTCAGCGGAAGCCCATGCCGTGGACCGGGAAACAGAACGTCTAATCCATCAACAACTAGCTGCGGACAACGCAAGTGGCCGTCAAAGATACATTCAGCTCGCCAAAGAGATGCTGCGTATTAGATTGCGCGCCTACAAGCCCGAGTCACCACCCGTTGCTGGTGCCTGGTGCCTGATCGGATCAGCACATCTCAAGGCCTCTCAGCTGCAGGAAGCAAAGGAAGCCACTGAGAAGAGTCTGGAAATATATGCCGCAGGAAACGATGCTGAGAAAGAAAACTCCGCGGCATTGGCGAGGGAACAGTTGGGTTTGATCTTTGAAGGCTTGGGCCAGATGCCCGATGCTAAGAGAATTCGACTGCAAGGTGCGAGTGACGGAACGATGGTGTGTTCGAGTCCACGGGTACGTTGATCATGGTGAAGCATGAGGTGGTTCTTCTAACAGGCTTATGTAGTGTCCCTATGCACATTACGCGTTCCGCGTGCAGAACGAGGGCCGCCCTGGGCTCTTCAAGTTGGCTGAACTGAACGCGTGTGGTGCATGCAATTCGGCATTCTACTGCGAACGGCAATGTCAACTGCAGGACTGGAAAAGACATAAAGTTCCTTGTAAGAGATATACGGCTGCTCAAGTAGATTAGGACGGCGCATTGCTTTGTCCTTATTAAAATCCAGTGACTCCGTCTTTATCTCCCATACAATCTTTGCGACCATGAAGGACTCAAAAGCTAAGAAGAGACCAAATGTACGCTCACTTAGAGTTCCTTATTGACTAGCCGAAAATTTGTCGGCAGTCACTTAAATCGAGGGTCACCTAGTCGCTATTCACACCAAAACGACGTTCACCTGAACCGATAGTCACCAAGCCTCTCGAGCTACTACCACACCTTGATAAAATCCAATCGCCCGACGTCAGACTCCCACTCCAATCTTTCGTTCGCGCAATACCAACCTTCTCCAGCATAACGAAACTGAGACACAGCGATGGTAAGTAGTAATACCCCTTCGTTGATCAACACACCTAACACGATAGACAGGCCAAGACACGTCAGCCGCTGAGCTTCGACGGCAGGTGGATGACGATGGCAAGATCCAAAGCCGGCGAGGTTATCTCGGTCACGTATTACACAAGGACGTACGCGAACAAGCAGCTTCCAAGCCCGCTACCGTCGTACCGCAACGCAGAAGGACGAACCCGGAGCATGAACGACATCGACTTCGATACCGTCAGTTCAGAGATCGTTGAGCGATGCGACCGGAACGGTCTTACGGTTCTTAGCCTCACCGCTGCCGCGCTCAAAGTATGGGAGAAACATGGCCTCGAGCTACTCTCCCGGGACGACGTCAAGAAACTTGAGGATGACGAAGCACCAACAGCATCCAAAACCAATGGCTCGGAGCGCGCGGTCCGCAAGCGAAACCGCAATTCCGTGAAGACTGCCGAGCTTCCCGCCGCGAAGAAGAGGCAGAGCCTCACGGTCGCGTCTGCGGCAACCCAGACCGAAGACGGCCCAGTACTATTCGTATCTCAAGGCACGCAAACTGATTCGCCCGTAGCAGATCAGCAGATCGCCGACCTATCCGAACGGGAGCGCGAATATGATGAGGATGATAGTGCTTGGGAGACGCAGCGTAGCGACAACGATGATGATGACGTCTCGACTGTTGTTGGTGTCATCGAGGAAATCGGCGACGAAGCTGACTGGGAGAGTGATGGAGACACTGACGGAGAGGCTGAGCAAGAAGCGGATGGTGATGATGGTCTAGTGACGGTCAAGTTGCCTTCAGGACGGGAGCGTCGCGTCTCCAAGTTGAACGCATTGCTGCTCGCATGGGTCAACACTTGATACTCAACCACGACGTCGCTATACTAGCGAGACGAAATACGCCCAGGGCATATACGTCCACGCTCGAGGCTTGGGTTAGCATCATCTGGGCTTGATGTCGGAGTCTAGCGGTCACTTGTGTGTCACGGAGGGCGTATTCTAGGTCCTGATAATCACGGCGTTGCATATGAATATCAAGGATACTACTTATAGTCCAGCTCTCGAAGCGCAATGCTCAAAGTACGACGCTCAAAGCGCGAGCCTCAATTACTGCTTTCCTGTTCTGCAATATGTCCCAATGCCTCCGATACTCAGAATAGCCTCGATGAGTGATGTCAGCTTCGTGAGTACATCACCATATCGTGGAGGCATTCGCAGTTGTCTGCGGCAACAGACGAGAGATACAGAAGACCATGTATACCTCAACAACACCCCTAGATATACGTATGCTATAGCTACCTGCAACGCATACCTCAAAGATACTTAACACATGCTCCTTCCAACATTTTGGCGTACATGTCGTCTACTAACTACCACAAGGCAAGAGCCCTACGCAACGACGTATCTGCTCCTAGATAGGAAAGTGCACCTCAACCCTCCACCGAAAGTGCCAACAACCTTACCGTGGATGCAGCAGCCTCCCCCGTCGCACCTCCCCGCCCCCCACTCCTAACATACCAAATCCCGCTCGCCCGCCGTCCCATCTCCTCTCTTCTCCAGCTACCACACACAGGAGATTAGGTACGCAATCCTACCCTACACCTCCTATACCTCAAAATTCGCTTTTACTCGCTCCGCTTACTAACCTACGACCTCTATCTATAGCTGTCTCCTAACCATGTCCGACTGCACCTTCGCCACGCGCGTTTTCGACGCCTTCGTGGCACACATGATCACGGCCGTTTTGGCCATCGCGCTGCTCCGGTGGGCCCGTTGGGCGGGGTATGAGATGCCGTGGGAGAGGCGGGAGAGGCGGGAGAGGAGAGAGGTGTTGGCGGCGTTTGAGGGGCGGATGAACGATATTATTGATCGGTATGTTTAGTGCGGATATTGATATACGTAGTTGGTTTCTTTTTTCCTTTGTTGGTCTTTTCGTTTCTAGCATATCTTTCTTTTATTATGGTTAGCTATTAGCTTTGTTATCTAGGGAGTATTTTAAGGGCCTTGTCCCCCACCTCCCCGCGGTTAGGCCTGGGGCCACTCCCGGTGATGAGAGGGAGGGGTGCGGACGGGGGTATTCTTATTCATTGTTGGAAGAGGCTGCGCTTGGAGACGTATTCGAGAGCGCTGCTCGTCAAAGCTTACACCTCACTTCTGGTTTGCCGAAGACGTCCAGAATACGCCATCCGCAACTCGATCTACGAAGGCGTTGTATGCCTCAAATGGACCTAAGCCACTCGTATCGGCTTCGCGCGTTCGACATGTCGTCTCCAAGTATCATGATGGTCGAGAGAACTTCCTTCTCACGAGGCCATGTCGTCTTGACAACGGGGTTTGGTACTCGCCCACTATTCGCAGACTGGTGCGGCACTGAATCTTGGTTCTACCAGCGCACTCTCGGCAGACGCACAACATCCCTCTTTCACATCTTCAGTCTCACTTCAACCTCCCTCCATCACACCTCAACATCGCCATCATGCCGGTTTTCGATCTAGGCCGGCTAGGTCGCTTCCAGATATCCTATCTTCCGCCGTCAGATATGTCGCAAGGAGAGCAGCAAGACCTACCCTCAGGCCCGCCACCTGAGTATACAAATGATACCGACAGGGAAAGCGACGCCAAGTACCACGCTCCATCGCAAGCTCAACCACCAGAGTGCAAGACCAAGCAAGTGTGTCGGTGGCTCATCGAGATCTTCGCAATAACCTTCAACGCGAACTTCGACGAGCTGAACGCAGCTCTCTACGACATTCCCGTACCAGACAACACAAACACAATACTTTGCGACTCTGAGCGCGCAGACCTGGTGGCTCAATCCGATCTTGTGCGCAAGATGCACAGGTGGTATCTCGGCAATAAAAAAACAAGGATATATCGAAAGGAAGAGTTAGCGCTGTGCGACACCATCATCCAACCCGTCTCCGTCCTTGACGAACTTCAAGGCACGTGGCCTCACTTCGCTTTAGACATGATCGGGTGGTACGGCGAAGAAGAGCGCCGGCCATCTGATACACGCTGGGCAACCACTATCCCCGCGCTCTGGGCGGCAGATACACGGTATAGCTCTTGGGGCCGTCGAGAGCAGCTGGAGACCAACATGCGAACGTGGCGTAATGATCTAGAAGACGCTGCACCAAACGACAAGGTGCGCGACGTGCTACGGGAAGCGTGGGACGATTATCGGAGACGGTTCGGGCTGGGTGAGTTGAGCAGAAATGTCATATGTTGGCCGCTGAGGGAAGGATATTGGAACATGGGGGACGCGTTGTGGAGCATGGGCGAATGGGTTGTTGTCGATTCCCTGGGTCGTGAGTCACGGTCTAGGATACCTCGTCGTTCGCACACAGGAGTAGTATATGCGAACGGCGTGTAAAACAATGAAAACCTTTGTCAGTACCAGACATGTCTCGCCATCAACCTGCGACTGCCGAGTCCCGAAGGAGTGTTGCGGTGTGGAGGGTTTGGTAAGGGTGGGTCACGGGAGGCGATCGACGCATTGTGGCTCGGCCCCCAGCCACAATGCAGAATGACATCATGCTGGCTGTACCTGCAGCAACCAACACCACCAATTTGACCGCAAACCTGCTGTCTAGCCCCGTGCGAAACGCGGCAAGCGTGTTTCCACTATTGCCATCGTGCCATCTTTTCCGGCCCGTCCACCTCTTCTCTCCTCTTCAGTCCTCTGCATTCTTTGTATTCCCTTTAGTCTGTCGCTTCGACTTTAATTTCCCTCTACGCGACGACCACGCGAGCGCCCCTTGGTCTTTAGCCCCTGCCACCACAACAACACCACCACGATGGTGCACCAACGCGCATCCCAGCGGGCTCTCCTGCTGAGCGCGACACTCGGCCTCGCCAATGCATTCGCGCTGCCAGAGCCGACAGCTGTCCCCGCCAAGGTCGAAGTGCGCGCGCCTGTTGTGACTCCCGCGGCGATCCGGTTCGTAGGGCGGCACAGCTACGTGCAGAAGAGGAACATCATCGACGACATCAAGAGCGGCGTGGATAACTACGCAGCCTCGATTGGCAGCGTGCTGGGAACAGATCTGCCCAGCTTCTTCACAGAGGGTAAGCAAACGCGTGCATGGCAAGCTTCGCACTAGTAAGGCTTGTGCTGACTCTTTTTCTCTAGGCATCCCCGGCTGGTTCGAAGGCCTCCCCACCGGCAAAGAAGTCCTGTCCAGCCTCGGCATCGGCGACGACGACTTGGCTGCGAAGCCCACCGAAGTCCTCAACATCCCTCCCTATGCCAACTGGACCGACCAGGGCTGGAATGTCCGCTTCCACGGCAATGTGTACAAGTTCCCGGATATCAGCCAGGACAAGGTCGACGACCTGGCCAACGTCTTCCTCATCGACACCAGCGTTGCCGAGCTGCCCGACAACCAGAAGGAGCAGGCACGCAACCTGACGCGCTCCATCTTCATCGTCCAGCAAGGCGACGTCAATGTCTCCATGTCGCTCGAGCCCGCGCCCATGCAGGGCGGCGACGGCGAGCCCGGCGGCGGCAACTCCATCGAAGCCCCCGGCGGCGTCCAGAACCTCACGCTCCCCTACGAGACCACCGAGCTCGGCGACTTCGACGTCTTCGTCCCCATCCAATCCAACGGCCTCATCCCCGGCAACGAAACCAACAACGTCCAGCGCCTAAACGTCTACACCAACGGCACCAACAGCGGCAACGCCACCGCCTTCCTCGTCCCCTCCGAGGGCATAACCTTCATCTCCGACATCGACGACATCCTGCGCGTAACCAAAATCTACGACCCCAAAGAAGGTCTTCTAAACTCCTTCGCCCGCCCCTTCACCCCCTGGATGAACATGCCGGATATCTACGCAAACTGGTCCCGCACCCTCCCCAACAACACACACTTCCACTACCTGACCACGACCCCCGAGCAAGCGACCCGTCTGTACATGGACTTCATCTACAAAACCTACCCCGGCGGCTCCTTCGACACCCGTCCCTTGAACTTCTCAGACATATCCGCCACGCTGTCCATCCGCAAATTCCTCCTCACTAAAGTGTTTGAGACTTTCCCCACGCGCAAATTCGTTCTCGTGGCCGATACTTCGAACAGCGATGTCATGAAGGCTTACCCTGAACTCGCTCACGATTATCCCAACCAGGTCCAATGCATCTTCCTGCGTAATACCTCCGCGACGGATTCAGACATGTGGTTCCCGTACAATACCGAAGGTTTCAAGGGATTGAACAACAGGAGTTACATGTTCTTCCGTGAGCCGAATGATTTGGCGGGGTTGGATATTGTCAACGGACAGTGTCTCAACGAGTCGATACCCCAGAACGTTACGTTTTCGCGTCAAGCGGAGATTCTGGGAATTCATGGCGATAGTGCGGGTGGAAAGTTGCAGAGCGGGGCGACGATTAGCTTTGTTGTGGCGTTGTTTGCGGCGGTTGCGCTGAGTTTGTAGGGGGTTAATGCATGAGTTAAGGGCATGAGTACATACGAAGCATGGTGTTGTTGGATTTTGATTCAAATAATTTGGGTTTTGGGCATAGCGGCATGGTCCGCGTTGGTTTTGGATTTCTACTGTGCATAGCTGTTTTCTGTTGTTCAAACAATTATGAGATTGTTACGATTGATTCCTTCTTTCTTCTATACATGTGCAAGGAAATGCGCCACCAAAACTCAAGCTCAGCAGAAACTAAACACAACCACGCTCACACGAACCCCCGCTGACAATAATCACGCCTCCTACCCACCTCCCACCTATGGAACCAACACACCCGCCCCTCCCGATCATCTCCAGGCCCATCAAGCACTCGTCTACTACCATACCTGCACACTGGATCTTTTTCCGCTCTGGTGATCGGCTGGTTCGCTTCCTTCATCTTCTTGTAGATATTGCTACCTGGGTGTTTGTTCTTCTTCTTATTGAGCTTGCCCTTCTTACCCTTGTGAGTGCGGATATATTGCAGCGGATTGGCGTAGGTGGCTAGGTCGAGGGCGTCGATTGTGTCTGAGATGAATGGGCATGGGTTTTGGGTTTCGTCTGCGGAGCTTTGGAGGGGGGAAGGATGTGGGAGTTTGGGTGGGTCGGCGAGCGGTAGGTGGGTTGTTGGTGGAAGGTCATGGGGGATTTGGTGGGGACGAGGGGGATGGGTAAGCTCATTGGGGATGGCTTTGTCTTTGGAGTTGACTGAAGTGATGGCGTTGGACTGCTTCTGTTTTAAAGCTAGCTTTTCGGATATGCGCTTGCGAATAGAAACTAATTCTTCAAATGCAGCAGCCAGCATCTTGGCCTCAGGATCGGTACTCATTTCTGAAGGTTCGTGGGAGATGCGTTGAGTGATGGGTCTGGTTTCTGCAATCTATTGGGCACCGTTGGATGTATTTTATGGTCTAGCAAACGCCTTTTCAAAGACATTGGTTTGACAAGAAGGTCAGCACGGTCGGTTTCTACAGAAGTCTCGGAGCTTCTTCTTGAGCGTTGTGAGAGACATGTGTGGTATGGAAGCGAGACATTCATGCGTGACTGTATTGTCTCACTCTGGGTGCGAAGGGCGCAAAGTCATAATCACATCGGAGATCTAGGTAGTTTCTACGATATAGCCTTGAGGTTTTACGACAACTGACTACAAGGACTCAAAAAAAGGCTACATAGCACACTCCTTCATTGCCCACACGTCTCCGTCTATCTCTCCACCGTCGATACTTTCCGATAGAGCTTATACACCTTCTTCTCCACATCATCCCCACCCTGATTCAACTTCCAATAAGTGCCATATCTACATCATGACACTGACTTGGACCTACACGCGACTGCTCTGGCATCCAGTGCCTGCATCTGTTCCCGAGTCTGAGCCTACGTCGTTGTGTTTGGGGGCCTGATGAGTGCGTATATATTCCAAGTAACCGCTGTATGTGAATAGATCCAGTGCTTCGACCTCGGCGGGAATAGCGAGACAGAGATAGCTTAGGCGAGAGAATGGGTCGCGGGGACTGCGCGGACGGAAGAGGGAAGAGTGAGGTCCTGGTTGGGTAGGCGAATGCTGAACTCCGTTGCGTTGGTGGCTGATTGGGCCGATGATATGAGGCTGATCTGCGTCGTTAGCTCGCGTGGGGGAGTCGTAGAGGCCAGTAAGCTGAGAGTCTGCTGCGTCGGCGTTTGGGGACATGGTGTTGATTACGTGGTGAGAATGATGGTTATTGCGGTACGGTGATGCGTGCGTGAAGGATATGCGGAATGATAGATTTACCCTCTGCTTTCTGTTGAGTGGCGGAGTAGATAAATTATACTTGAGCAAACACCGCTCAAAGAGATCAGATAAACCAGGACGTGATTGTGGATGAAATATTGCACCGGGTACTTCTAGATGTCTCTTGGTTTCTTATCAAACTCCAGGTCATTCTAGTACTACATTGTCTTCCTCAGTGCAAACAACATAAAGAGCAACCCCATCAGAGATACCTGTACCACGAGCAAGGCCACTGACTCTGAGAAGCCGGCCAAATAACCATCTCATTTCACACCCTCCTCAAACCTTCTCGCAACCTCCAAAACCTCCGCATCCAACCTCGACCCCCCCAAAAACGTAACACTAAACGGCAACACACCCTCATCCCCCTCCTTCCCGCTCAACTCCTTAACCGGATACGTCCCCGCCGGCACCGCCACCCCACAAAGATCCAACACATTCCCACAATGCGTAAACTCACCCAGTATACTGTTCTTCTTAATCGGATCAGCGAGCACCTCATCTATGCGCCAGTGCGTCGGAGTGGTCGGTACAACGACGACATCAACACCAGATGCGGAGTACGCGAAGACTTTCTCTGCGTGGCGGGTGTAGAGGGCTTGGGCCTGCAGGTCGCGGTAGGCGTCCACGGCTGAGCTGTTCCGCGCGACGACGGCGTCCATGAGTTGTGCGGTTACGGGGTGGAGGGCTGCGCGGTTCTTCTCGAGGAAGTCGTCTGGGAGGGAGGCGAGGCGTTCGGAAACGAAGGTGCCGTCGTAGAGTAGTTGGCCGGCTTTTTGGAAGGGCGACCAGTCGATTGGTGTGAGGACGCCGCCGATGGCTTGTAGTTTCGATACCGTTTCGTTGAACATGCGACGGGCTGGGGGTGAGCAGATAGCTAGTGCTTCGGGTGGCGGAATGCCGAATTTGAAAGTGCGTGATTGGGGGCCGATGCTGTTAACGTGGCGTTCGAAGCCCATCTCTGGTTTCGCGTAGGGGTCGAGAGAGTCGTGGCCTTCTAGTATCTGCCATAGGGTTCGCGCGTCGGATACGGTTTTGGTGGAGAGCGCGATGCAGTCCAGTGATAGACATGCCGGTGTGATGCCTCGGAAGGAGATCGTTCCCCGTGTAGGCTTGTATCCGACGATGCCGTTGAAACCAGCGGGTACTCTGCCTGAGCCGGCTGTGTCTGTTGCCAGCGAGAAGGAGACGAGATTCGCGCCTACTGAAACTGTGCTGCCACTGCTTGATCCGCCGCTGATGTAGTCTTTGTGGTATACTGAGTGTGGGATTCCGTATGGGCTGCGGCATCCTACGAGGCCGGTTGCGAGTTGATCTAGATTGGCTTTTCCTATGAACAAGGCGCCTTCGGCGATGACTTTGTCGTATACGGGAGCGGAGGTTGAAGGTATGTGCGCAAGTGGTGGACAGGCGGTTGTGGTGGGAAGACCGGCAATGTCGATGCTGTCTTTGACGCTGAAGGGGACGCCGAACAGGGGTGGAAGTGCGTTTCGGTTGGGATAAGTCGATACCAATTTTCTTGCGGCGTCTAGAGCTGCTTCGCGTGGTTGTAAGTATATCCACACCGCTGGATCTATCTTCTTGTATGCTTCGATCTTTTCGTAGATCGCCTCTATCACGGTTACAGGTGACAGCCCCCTCTTGTACGCTCGCTGCAAAGCCGATATCGTGAGGTCGCCATCGAAGATCGGCGGTGTCTGAGGAGGCGTCGAATTGGCGACCGGCCCCTTACTTGACAATGGCGAGAGGGCGTCTAGTAACGGCTGCAAGCTACCAATGTATCCGAAAAGGCCCTGCGACCAATGTATCATATCCAGCGTCGACTTCTTGAAGCAAGCATCATTGTATCCACTAGTAGCTTCCTCAATACCACAGCATTCGAAACCGCGGTCATTCGCTTCCCGAATAGTAGTAGCAAAGCAACACTCTGTAGTGACGCCAGAAACAATGAGATGTGTAATTGCTCTCGCTTTGAGCTGATGCAGGATAGTCGTGTTCCAGAACGAGCCTTTGCCGGGTTTATCGATGACAACCTCGCCAGGAACTGGCTTCAGCTCATCGATGATGTCGTGTCCGTATTCTCCCCGGGTAAGCAGGCGGCCAAGTTCGCCCTTGTCGCCGATGACTAGTTTGTGCTGCGTGTTGCCAGGCGCGGCTTCTTGTCTGATCAACTTTGAGGATGGGCAGTCAGAGAGATCTGGTTTGTGGCCTTCGCGGGTGTGGAAGACAGTCATGCCAGCACCCCGACACGCCTCCAATAGCTTCTTCGTTGGCGCGATGGATGCTTGGACCGCCTCCAGGTTTCCGCCTTGGATTTCGCCGAAACCTTTGGTTAGAAGGAAGTCGCGTTGCATATCAATTATGAGTAACGCAGTGTGCTCCAGAGGGAAGGAGAACGCGTATGGCTTCGCGTCAAAAGAGAGCATCGTGCCATTAGGAGAGGTGTTTGCCATCTTCGTGATACTGTGGCGATTGAGAAGTCCGGTAATTGGAAAGGTTGTATATGGGCAGACACGCTCATGTAGGAAAGCAACATCTACAGAAGGCCGTCAGGGAACAACGACGCGCCATATCTACGTTCCATGTCGACGCCATCGGACGAACGTGGGGACTCCAACACGGGCCGCGAACGGAGTATGCAGCTGGCCTACGGGCCTACGGGCGGGAGTTGGAGGTGTCTTATCGGTATCGGGTGGCGCTAGCACCAGATTGGTCTAACTCGGCTCTCCGATGAGCTATCTCCATCATGCCCAGCGCCCAACGCTCTTGCATGCCTGTCCAAAAGTCCAGATAGTAGCGGTACATGTCTGAAAAGTTATGCCGACCCATGTTCGTATCCGCATGCACCCCGCCATATCATCAGCGACTATCTCCGAGCCAGGAGCCGAAATGGTTATCAAGCTGGAGACTATCTTGATATGGAGATGCATCTAGCTGTCACGGCTCGAAGACCAAGACTCTGGAATTTGATAAAAGTTGGATGCAGTTCTTTTGCATTCGGTTTTTATGACTTCACCGTACTGTCTTCAACCATGTCTGTGCTCAAAGCGAGGCTTGCACCTCATCTTCATCTGAGGGTACCTTTCGAAAGCGGCAAATATGGCTCGCGCTGGTCGAACAAAGGTATGTCTCTGGAAGGCATTCATGTGTGATAGAATTAAGCTGATCGTCGCACGAACACCAGATCTTGATCCGGTGCCACCAGAACAGCGTACCTGGGGTGGTCTTGACTACTGGGCATACTGGTGCTCAGACATGCTCGCACCTCCGCTGGCGTCTACCGTGAGTAGTGTAATGGCTCTGGGGTTTACAGCTAGAGAGACAATTCCGATCGTCTTCTTCGGCTTTGCTATCTGCAGCGTCGTCATAACACTCACCGGCAAGATGGGTGCCACATACAATGTGTCCTTCCCGGTCATCATCCGAAGTGTCTTTGGCATGTATGGCTCTTTCCCGGCTATATGCATCCGAGCTTTCGTCGCCATGATGTGGGCTGCGATTCTCACAGTCCAGGCGAGCAACTTCCTGCAACGCTGCCTTGAGGCGATCTGGCCAAGCTTTATCACTTTTCCGAATCACCTACCAGAGAGCGCTGGTATTGATTGTAAGGCCCACCTTCTGAGACCATGTTGGAACGTTACTAATAGTGTCGTAGCGGCCGGGTTGCTCTGCCTGTTTTTGTACTGGTTTCTGCAGACTGCACTCGCCCTCATGCCAATCTCGAAATTGCGCGTCCTCTTCTGGATCAAGGGTATCGTCGTGCCGCCAACATTCTTCGCTCTATTTCTTTGGGCCGTCATAGTGACGAAAGGGTGAGTGATCTCGTGATAGCCCGCAGCGATGAACGATGCTGACTGAAGATGCAGTGGCGGTCCGCTCATCAAAGGAAAAGTGGAGATTACTTCAACATACATGAACACCACCTACTCAGTGCTCACCGGCCTCAACGCTGTAGTCGGGCTTTTCTCCTCTTTGGCCGTCAACATGCCCGATTTCGGCAGGTTCTCCAAGAATCAGCTCGCTGGCTACCATCAGTTCCTCGCCCTCCCCATCATCGGAACATTGGGCGCACTCACACCGATCTTCGTCACCGATGCCCATTCGTACCTGTGGGGCGAGTTCGAGTGGTATATGCCAACCGTCATCGCCAAGTTTGATTCGCGAGCTGCGAAGTTCTTCGTATCCGCCAGCTTTCTCCTCGCGACGATTGGCAACCAGATCGCAGCAGATACCTACCCGTTCGCGAACGATGTAGCTGGCATGCTACCAAAGTATATCAACATCTTCCGAGCCACCATCATCATTTCCGTCTTTTGCATCGTATCCACGCCGTGGAACATCATCAAGAACGCGTCAGGTCTTCTCTCGTTCTTGAGCGGCTACTCGTGCCTCATGGGTCCTCTTGCAGGTACCATGGTCAGCGACTACTACCTTGTCAAGAAGTGTAAACTGGATGTGGATCAGCTCTACACGCATCGCGGCATCTACTGGTATAATGGAGGCTGGAACTGGAGGGCATATGTGTCCTTCGTTGTGGGATTCGCTCCCCTCCTCCCGGGTTTTGCTAAGAGCATCGACAACGATCTGGATATCGGTGGCGCATGGAAGGTCTACACGTTCGCGTGGATATTTGGGTTCTTTCTTTCGCTGTTTACGCATTATGTTGTATGTACATATATTTCGCCGGCGACAGGGTCGTTAGTAGAATGCGCGGTGTATCCGCCGCAAAAGGATGAGGTGGTCGCGCCGGTTCTCGAGGGCGAGGAACTATCGAATAAGGAAACTCTTGTGGCGAAGGAGAAGGAGATGGCTAATATGGCTTAACCAACATCGCGCGAAGTACTCAATCTTGACCAATATTATCTTCTTCTGCCTTCTACAGATGATGTCGCGATCAAAATGGGAAGCTCTCGTATGCGTTTCGTGATGCCGCTGATTAATTTCCACTTGGTCCGTGCTTCACCGGCTGGGCCGCCTCGGCTCTCTCTCGTCCCATGTGTTATTCATCCCCCAACCTCCCTGCCGGTGGACCAACTCAACGCACATGGCACCCACGTCATCAGTGAACTTATAGCAATCTTCAACACGCGTCAAGCAGGAATGGCAGTGTGATGCTATGCATTCATGGAAAAAGCACCATCGTCAACCATCTCGCGAAGTCGTCACGCGGACGCGTCCCACGTATCGCGATTTCACCCACAACATACTGGGGGTATCCGTCTGCTATCAAGACGGACATATACTGCAAGCTGAAATGCAAGCATGAACTTCGTGCCTAGTGAGAGCTCGCCGCCAAACTACCCTCTCCCGCGTGTAGCCAACATTCATACTACCAAGCCAAAATCGCGACGTCCATGCGATCCCTGTCGACGACGGAAGTCACGGTGCGAAATATCAGACACCGGACCACCATGTGTTCTTTGTCAATTCCATGATCAAGAATGCACCTTCAATGAAAATCCACTACCACGGAAACGACGTGCCGTGGCCATCAACGAGGCCTCTGAGCCTACTGAAACCGCCCGTGGCCAAATACCTCTTGGAAACGACTACAGGAATAACACTGCCCAGTCTACATCACCTCAGGATACTACAGCCAAAATCCGACAAGATCCGCCAATCGACGACTACGCAAATCTACATGGCCCTTCGCTCCTGAAGAAGACGCTGGGATTGCAGACCAGCAGGCATAGTCGTCTTGTCGGCTCGACTTCGGAGTACGAGCGCCTGTTATTGGCACTTGAGCCAGTTCAATCCGCTGGCGCTGCTGATGCTTTGGCTGGCCATCCAAAGCTTCGAAAAGTAGATCACGCTCGTGCAACGACGTTCGTCTCATCACCCGATGTCGGTACGCTCAACAGTCAAGGCGACATTCCGGATCTCGACGCTATCGAGATAGCCGTTGCACCACATGGCGCTGCGTTGATACGTCTATTCTTTCGCATTGTACATCCTAGCTTCCCGATTCTGCACAAGAACGTGTTCCTTGAGAAGTATGAACGTACTCATCGAGAGTTCTCGCCGCCGCTGTTAGCTGCAGTCTATCTCCTCGCCCTCAACTGGTGGTCGTATTCCAGCGAGCTAGCACTACATTCGAAGCCAGACGTTTCGCATTTAGAGTCCTTGACGATGAGGTCGTTCAGCAACATCATTCACAGGCCCAAGCTTTCGACTATACAGGCAGGACTGCTGCTACTTCAACGACCAGAGGGCAACAGCTGGGCGTTGACATGTCAATTGGTCGGGCTAGCGCAAGATATGGGATTACAACTCGATTGTACGACATGGCACATCCCAGCCTGGGAGTGTGGCCTTCGTAAGCGTTTGGCGTGGGCTGTATTTATGCAGGACAAATGGGGTGCGCTGGTGCACGGTCGCCCCTCGCACATCACGCCGATGGATTGGGATGTCCAGCCTTTGACTGTGGACGACTTCCCAGAGAGCGCCGCTGATGAAGATGACGAAGACGGAAGTACTGAAGTGGAGAAGGGTCGGATCTTGTTTTGCTACATGGTAGATCTTACACAGATCTTGGCGCAAATCCTATCGACTTTCTATACACTAAAGGCCGAGCGCGACTTCGCCAGTCATGCGCACGAAGGCGTACGGTCGCTGCTTAATGCAGCGAAGCCTTTGCAGCTCACCCTACGTCAATGGTATGCCAACATGCCAGCTGCACTCAAAGTACAGGATATCGCTGCGAGGAAGCTCTCCAGTGTGGGCTATCTTCATCTTGGCTACTACGCAGTCGAGATGACACTTCATCGGCGTATCATCCGATCGCTATCTCCAGCAGACGACCCCGAACTCCACAACATATGCCGGCAAGCAGCGCAGATCCGCCTCACATCTGCCATGAGCTTCGTGCAATCTCTCCGACCTGAACACTTCCAATCCTTTTGGTATTCCTCGTCCACCTACAACTTCACTCTCATTGGTTCTTTCATCTCGCTTCTTTGGGTGACATCCCCCAGTAGAGAAGAGGCAGCCAGATACCGGGCTCATCTAGACCAGTATAGATGGATCATACGCCTCTCGAGCAAATCAGCTGACTTCCTCGAAAGAGCGCTAGTGTCGCTGGATGTGTCGTCCAGTGCGCTCATGAAAGCCATTCCTGACGAAATCAACTCACCCGCTACAGCGATTGGTCGTCAGGCCAGCACGGGATCAGGTCGCGATAATGGTGCGCTTGTTCCTGAGAGTAATAGGCCCGTGTCTGTCTCTTCAACCCCCTCCGCTACCCAATTCGATGGAGGAACGTACAATACATCGCTGGAAAGGGCCGACCTCGTTGATCACTCGTGGTTTGATGCGATACACGAGAGCGACTTCGACAGTGCATACAATGGCCACGATGTACCTCTGCCTGGGCAGTCGGACGTGCCATGAGGCGCGAGCAACTGCAGCATTGTTGGATTAATCATGCTATTGTACCAGCTGTCGACAGGTTAGACTCACGCAGATCATGTCGGATGGTCGTGAAGTCAAATAGCGAAGAGCGGTGCTCCTCTAGCTATCTATAAGAAAGGTTTCATGCTCGCTATTAGCAATTACTAAGCTATCAGCCAGTCTGATACCCGCTCTATTCTCTACATAGTGCAATACTTACTATCATCCATGCCACCGCACCCCACTCTGACGCAACCATGATCCTCTCCAAAGCCATCACCATCATCGTCGCTGCCTTTCTCACTGCTCTAGCGGTTACCACTGTTGGCAGCTTCGACACCTGTACTGCGGTGTCCTTTAACGTTAACACCTTCTAGGCCACCAGCATGCACGGGAAAGAGCCTCAATTTGGCCCGAATGGTCTGCAATCCTCATCCACCACCGGGCAGTGCATCCACATTAATGCAGCTGCAGATGGTGATTTCGCCACGACCTTCCCTGCTGATTACAAAAGCTTCATTGTCAATACGCACATATTCTCTAGCAAAATCCCTGGGGCTACAGTAGCCTCGCCCGCCGCGCTTGCTTAGGAACTGCGCGCTGTCACGCCGCGTAGCGCTAAGATTATGGCGCGCTAGACTGTGGGTAGTCTGTAACTCCACGCAAGTAAGTGGTGGCCGAGCAGGGAGGTGGCAAAGATTGCTTATGCTCGCTCTTTGTCAGAGTCTTTGGGGGATTTACGGCTGCGAATCGTGCCAGTATTCCGTTTCTTTCTACTTCCAGGGAGAATTAGGCCGTTCTACCATGCTGTCACTTTCTCGTAGATAGGGCTAACTATCGACAGTCATAGCTGATTCTCATTCACTGCAGTTGCGTGATGCACCGTATTGTGAGCCATAAATACTTCATACACTATCCTAGTATGATGTTCTCATCGAACTGAGCAGTCCGATCCCATACGTCCTTCAAGATTCTAGCTACACCCAGCCTCTCGAATACGCCTGGTTTGCCGTTGACTAGTTTGACACAAAGCGCATACACTTCGGGCTGTCCGGAGCTGGGGTAATAGCCAACTTCAACATAGGAGATGCCGATGAAATCCAAGCCACCTGGTTCTCCCTGGGGCAACTGCCGAGGACAGTGGTCGAGAGTTATGTAGCCTAAGATGATGTCCTCTGTATCATTTGCAGTGCCCAACGGTATCAGATATCTTGAAGCCTCATTGCTCTCTGGGACGTGACATGACACACGAAACTGCGCTATTTGTGCTTTGATGTACAGGTAAGGGTCAAGATATTCCGGGTTGACTCGCTTCGAAGATGCCTTGTCGCTGCATTTCTCACTAGTCATCTGGTGAGTCTGCAGACAAATACGGCATTGGGCATATATGACGATGGGTACTTGGAGCTCTTTGGAATCATCGCTACCGGTAGGCCACCCAAAGCTGAGAGGTATGCTGTTAATTGCTTGACCATTATGTCGCCAGGCCATCCAGGACCAGCTGGGCATGACGAATGACCCGTCTGGACGTAGCAACATTCTTCTCTCCAAAATAGTCTGTCCCGAGCTCCACAAGAGTGCGCGTGAAAGTTTACATATCGGGTGACCATATAGCAATCTCGTATGAACTGCAGTCTGAAGATCGTCCAGGCTCGTGTAGAAGTTGATGACCCCTAGGAACGCTTTTATAGAATCTTCGTCGTACGATAATGCGCGAGGAGCGAAACTTGTTGCCGCTCGCGAGTATGCGTACCAGTTTGGTTTCCGTCCAGTTAGCGAGGCTTGACAAAGGGTTGGCAGAAGGCGTCGCATCTCGTTTGACAAATTGAAATTACTTTTGAAGCCAAAACTTGAACCTTCTTCTGAATATTCTTCCACACAATTAAAACAAATGCGATCGTTAATTACTAGCACCCGTCGAGAGGAAAAGCCTTCTTGTAGTGTCCAAGCTCGCGAACACCATGGTAACGCAAGAGTGGCTGGTGAATCAGTCTCGACAACCATTCCAAGCACGTAGTTTGGATAGTTTATGATCTTGCCAGGTAGAATACGGCCAGTCGAACGAGTGTCGTAGCCGGTGATGCCGCCGTTCGCGTTGTCCTTGTTTGCCACCAGGATCGTCAAGAATGCATTAGCATAGATCAGGTGCATTCGGTTCAGATAGAAGGAGAGATTGGGAGCGTTCTGTATCAGGCAAAGACAGTCCGCCCATAGGTAGCGGACGTCCAAGTCTGCGGTGAGATGCATAGCATCTCTAATAGTCTGCGGAACAGTAGCGACATGAGATCCGGATGACAGGCTACGAGGCTTTCGGAGCTCCTCCATGTTTCCAGAAGTTAGGTTGGTGGACTTGACGTTACCCCAAACGTAGCTTAGAGCTATATAGCACAAATTCGAGACGTTCTTGAGTGTGATACATTCCTCGACTACATCGATAAGGTAGAGCGGCATGTTCATCTCATCCGCGGGATTAGACCGACAGCCTTCGTGCTCGCGCTCGCATGTATGCAGCCACGACTTGATTATTGTCGTGGGAAGACTTTTCCCCTCAGTGTGAGTGGTCGAACCGTTTCGAAGTCGCGTAGGGTAGTCGGAGCGCCGTAGCAGGTAACTGTAGGGATATGGGTCGCCGTACATGTTTGCTGATGCATTAACCCCTGCTGACCATATTTCTCTCGGATTAGGCCCAGAGAAGTTGTCCCCTCTGATCACAAGTTCCAAGTTCCCCGCATTGGGGCCCACTTTGTCGAGTATATTGACAAAATCTCTGCATGATGGGCAGGTCGTATCTGGCTTGATGTCGGCTATATTGGCTTTTAACGGAAGCCTCATGATATTTTGGTAACAGTACTCGGGTGTTATGTTCGGAAGGTCGTTGAGGGATCGATCCGCACGTAGGCACTCTTCGCAATACAAAGCGTCCACGTCCGGTGAATCTCGAGAGTTCAATGGAGTAGCTTCAAACGTCTCCTCCATATCCACGATAGTCGGTAATTTACAGGACAGAACCGACTCGTGTGCTGCGTTCTAGTTCATAAAGGTATCCGTAGAGCAAGAAGTCGGTTTATGACTGAGAAGGCTGCAAAGAGAGTGATGTCTACATGCCCCGCGATCATTGCTGCCTACGCCAAGGGAGGCGCATCTCAGCAGGCAGGTGCTTCCGGCCTATCAGCCATGAGAACGCTTGATGCCGCACTGCAGGACAGTGTGGGAGAATCGAGTTTCGCTAACAAGCAACGGGTTATACTGCTATATGGGAGAGCCATTTATCGAAGCGCTAGCGTAGCTCTCGCGCAGCGCAGATCGGACAGCTGTTGCTATTCGAAGGGGAAGCTTCATCTCTGTTCGCACAACCCACCAAACTCCCTCAAGTATGCCTCTAGCTCCAGAACGTTCCGCCAAACTCATCCCACAGCACACCACATCACACCACCACACCATCTCACTACCACCTCACGCCTAGGCCCTCACAACAGCCCCGCATCTAGACCTCACCTTCACCAGCTCCCTCCCCAAAATGAGGGGTAAGACGCCCAAGTAAAGCAGTCGCAAGCCTGCTGCAGCACCGCCGATCACATACCGCATGCATACGGACCGATAACACACCTGCACGCTATCTAAAGCGAGATCGAACCGCCATCCATTCGACGCCTGCGATTTTGTTGGGAAGTATGAACGGCTTTGAACCACCGTTTAGGTGTTTGTAGAGCGATGCGATGCGTTTTGGTGGGTGTGTCGCGTGTGGTGTTGCTTATTGCGTTTGTGGGGGGAAAGCGGTGGGTGACGTCATGAGCACGTTGTTTGGTGGAATGGAAACGTGCTCCAGGGAACGTGGTTGAGGTGTGGCATCCACGTTGTCGTGAACGTTATCGGTATCGCTATCTAGACATCATCCGAAGGGGCCGGGAAGTAGAAGCAAAGGACATCCCCGCTTTACAACGTAGGAGAGACGCGGTTTGAAGTCATCAAGATTATTAAACAGAGCGATCGCGCGTCAGCGTTGCTGTGCGGAGAGAGAACCCACGAAAAAGCACGCTGCGCGAAAGAACCATGGGGATGCAGGGACCGCGCGCCAACATGTCGCCAAATGTTCCAATTGGACGGGAAACGGTCTACCGGCCAAACACCCCGGTACGCTTACGAAGGTTTATTTCGGGATGATAAAACAAAGTGCACAAGAAGCATTGCGTGAACGGCAGATATTACGTCGTCAAAGCACGCGACACGGGACGGGATGAACAGCAGTAGCAATGACAGTGATGATACGTGATAAAGTGATCATGATTTCATAAAACTAACTATACAGAGATGTGGTCGGGAACCTAGCAGTTCCATCGACTTGATGCAACGATTGCATCAAAGAGGGGGTATCTGTTTTTCTGATTTGAGCACTTCATTTCAGAACCGTTGCGCCAATTGCCTGTCCAAAAAAAGCAAAACGCCGCTCGTAAACACAAGAGAACAAAATCGCGATCGTGATCCTCGTAACCCTCACGTCATTGCACCATGAGAAACCTTACATGGTGCGGACGTGCGTCAAAGCGTGAGCTTAAGCCCAAGTCTTGGAAGTGTTGAGACCGAGCTCGAGATGCTGTGCGATGGCGTCGGCAAAGTCGCCGCCAGCGTTGGACGAGTGACGGCGGCGCTCGCGTCGTATTTGGTGCTCGGCTTCCATGAGGCGGCCTTGGACCCAGGCGCGCTGCTTCTCGTCGTTGCGGATGCATTCTGTGTTCATGAGCTCGGTGAGGGTAGCGACGATTTGCTGGTTGATCACGGCGAGCTTGTGGGATTCTTCCGTGTGCATGTCGTCGACACTGTTGCGTGGGGTGGAGCTGGTCCTGGAGCTGACGGCGACGGGGTCACTGGCTGCGGGGAAGGGCGTGGAGTACTTGGGTGAGGACTCGGGCGAAGAGGAGAGAGACTGAAACTCTGGCGACGATGCTGCCATGGGAGCGTTGAACGGAATCTCCATAGCCATGCGGCGTTGGAGAGCTTCCTTTTGGGCGGAGAGAAGCATGTACTTCTGCATCGACTCGTTCTGGATAATCATGTTAGTATGTGTAAAGGAAGGAAGCACTTCGGAGAAACTCACTCTACATAAAGTGGGTCGCGACATGGGAGCCATGGTGTGGTCTGATATGGTGTTGCTTGGTGCTCGTAGCGTTTAACGTGGAGGGAGATTTGATTCCTGCTGATGTGGGGTTGTCGGGTTACTGATAGAAATACCAGTAGACAATGCCAAGAACGTTGGTGCTAGGAGATCGGCGGAGCCCCAGAAGTGTGGGTACGAAAAAGTTCTTGGTGGTGGACCAGAGTGGAGTGATGGTGATAAGGTGATGCTGCCGCGACGACTCGGTGATGGTTGATGCTTAAGTATCGAGGCCGGTGATGTTGACAGAATATTCCAGAGTTTGACGGATTCGCAAATGCGGTCTCCTGAGTCTGGGGTTTGCTCGCAACTTAAACAGTTTGTGATGGGGCCGCGCATTCACATTCCCGGAATAGGCCATGACGTGCGATTAACATACCTGCACCGAAACACAGCGCGGCTGAATCCGTCCTTCCGCGGTCACTGTGTCGAGACGCCTTTGAGTAACGGGGCCCGTTTCGCAGAACCCTGTTGGGATAGCCAGGGGTTGGGGCGTAGTCCAGCTGTGATTGGCGGAGTCAGCCCCCTTGCTGATCCTCCTGCTTCCCCGAAAGGTAAACTAAGCGATATAACGTCACTGGTAAGAACCTGAATGTAGGGCCACGGCGCAGGATCGTGATTCAGTAACAGGATCGCACATGAAAGGTCTTGAAGCAGTCGATGGCACATGGTACCTGCATTATCGTGAGTAATTTTGCCTGCAGACTCTTACCCTTCACTTGTGGGTAACTTGTGGGTAATGCGAATTCTCTGCCCTCCATCACAATGCCATGATGCTGCCGGAAATGCCATGGTGACACAGTATGACGTTTCGCTTGATCCAAAATTATGTCTGAGTCAATTCGGCGCAGGCCGAGGCGGCGCGGAGACATCCTGCGACGTCACTTTTGCATGGTGTTGACATTGGGCAACTTTGCTGCTCGGGCGGCTTCACAGTGCAGCACTACCACACATGTGGCTTTTTTTGGAGACATCCCAAATGATGATTAGACGCTGCATTTGACCGCTTTCGATTGTCCATCAATGTGTCTAGAGGCCAAAAGTCAGGCTTAGCACGAGAAATCAGGTTTCGACGCCACATTAGTGGCTCAGTCCCACGTGTATCCGGGTTTCGGCTTGGGTGTGACGTCCCTGTGCAAGCCTCAAACCCCAACCATGGGCATAACAGGGCTGTTGGAAATTCGATCGTCGTTTCTAGCGTATCAGAACCCCGTAAAGGATCCACGACAAGGCTTCCAGAACAGACCCTTGATCCTTCACGCGACAGGGAAGTGTCACGCTGGAGTGCCACGTTGGTGACAGAAGGCTCGTGGGATTCGTGTTCATTGTGGACGATACCGCCTAATCATGGACAGCGGGAACAAGACCTTGGCTTATCGTCGCCCTGGCGCGCCGCGATTACACCCAACATTCAGGTATTCGCATGTCCTCGAGTAAGCGTCATGTCGGAGCGACATACTCCGCATGATACGCGTACGGCACAAACACCTCACTGCCTGGTCGGGGTTGGTCTTAGAAGATCGAGGGCCTGACCGCGCAGATCATACGGCGTCGTCAATCGACGCCCGGTCGCTGCAGAAGGGATTGACCGAAAAGCAAGCGTGTACCGGCACTCAGCGGATGTACATGAAAGTGATGCGACATGTTGCGAGACATGAGAGCGGTGTGGTACAGGCGTTTCACTCTTCAGTAGAGTGTCGATCTGACCAGAAGCCTTTGCCGTAGCTGACTAGGATCTCTTGTCCACGTCCGATGCCCTTCGCTCTCTTTCCGCTTTTGCCAGCGCTGAGCACGAAGACTCCGACTCTCTTCTCCACCTTCCCGTTCCCAATGTCTACAAATATGTCGCGAAACTCGGCGACCGGTGCGGCAGCGACGCCTCGGTAGTCGTTGATGAAGCGTGCTTCGTTGCCCATTTTGGATGCATCAACGCCGATGCCTAGTTCGCGGTCGAGTGAGAGGTCGTAGTCGGATGCTTCATCGATGTCAGTCTGATCGTGCACATAGCCCAAGTACGGCAAAATGAACGAGTCTGGTGGCAGATGCTGGTTAGCATAAAGCGCGTGCTGTCCATGTGCAGGATGCGCAGAGTCCGTGACGGGTGTGATCTTGACGTTCGAGTATGGCCCATTCGGCTTGTAAACCTGTGTATTGGGTGGTAGATCGGACTTTGGCGATACAAGTGCGCTAACTTTGTCTCTACAAAGCTTCTTGGAATATGAAGGTGCATGAAGGTAGATGGTTTGCCCATCCCACCCCTTCGGCACAGAGCCAGGTAATTTTGGCATCTTGCTATCGGATTTGATAGAGTTGCGCAGCTTTCATCTAATCCAGTCAGGCAGTCGTTCCTTCGCGGGGGTCGAGACGACAAGCTTGGTCCCTCTCGAAAAATTGCGAGAAGCTCGCGACAAAGATAAGGAATCTCTGGCTATTGTGCCTTTCGGTAATGCATAGTACGGGATTGTGCGGCGAGGTGGTGAGGTGAAGTTGTTGTGTTAACAAAGTCAAAGGCAGTGTGCTACCGAGGGGCTCTTGCCCGACCGGCAACACTTCGGCAGGACGGGCTAGAAGCGACAAGAACACCCACTCTCGCTCACCGTAGCACTCACTAACACCACACTACGCCTCGCCCTTTATCGACGCGACGCTCTCTAGCTCTGCGCGGAAATGATCACTATTTGTGGGATATGATAACGCGGAAGGATCGGGTTTCTTCGTGTTGAGCAGCGCGTCATTCGTTCTCCGACGAAACACCTGCGCCCAAGTAGGTGCCGCGCTTAATGCGTGACATGCGACTACCATTGTGGCGCTCACTAAGCTCATGCGCCTCTCCTGAGGAATGCCAGATGCGAAATTGCGTTACGACTGTTGCAAGGAACACTGTGGGTGGATGACTCTCGCAAGAAGAGCCCCCGTATGACAAGAGCTGAGACAGAGCTGAGAGCTGACCAGCCTTGAGGATCACAGCAGCTCCGGCAACAGCTTTCCGCTACATCTCGATGTCTATGATAGTTCGCAACACTGGACGGGCTGTCGGCCCTTCGCTGGATCTAGTCGAGGTCTAGATGCAAGGGCAATGCAGGAACCCGCACGTCCCCAGTCCATCGTGAACCAACGACCTCGCCAGCATCAGACCGGTCCAATCTGGCCCTTCTCCTATCAGCGAAGCTATTTTTGCTCAGACGCGGGGATTGCTCCAGATACTGTCACGATTACCCATCTCCACTCTGATCGGGATTCCAGTGCCTCTGGCAAGGAGCCCCTAATCGTCGCTCTGTTCAGGTGTTCTTTGTCACAGTCAGCGGCTGGGCGCCAATGCCAGCTGCCAGTGTGTCTTACACCTCGATACAGTCGCGCGGCTTCTTCTCTGCTCAGAGCTGACATGCAGGTGCGGATCACGAACCGGAGATAGATACCTACCGGGCGATTGAACATGTTCCGCGTGCACAAATCGAACGCTTGCGGCAAAAGCAGCTAGAACGACGGGCGATGTGTTGGGGCGGCAAGGCCCCTTGGCAGGGGAAATTGTCAACCTCATTTCGTTTCTGCACGCAATCCACCTTTTGATTGGCCCGCTCGACTTCCATCAATAAACAGCTCACAACGGCCCATGTCGAAGCTTTCCACAGGTTCCCCTATTTCGTACTATGCCAGGCACAGTCCACCAAACGGCGCCACCGGCACGCCAGAGCCCTCGCGATACTGCCAACCGAATGCAACTACGCCAATGCCCCCTGTTCATGGACGCTGGCGCTCCTGGTAAGGCCAGCTCGTGTATAGTTCTATATAATGGCTTCGCCAGCTGCTCCTCAGTTGATTCCTCACCACACACTCACTACACTCACTAATACACGGTTATCACCGATCACACTCGTTTTCAACGACCTCCAACGCCTTACAACTTAATACCTTCCGTATTTTAATACCCACCCCCCAAACCAAACATCAAGATGCGTTCCTTCGCCGTCATTGCTGGCTTCGCCGCCGTTGCCCTTGCCGCTCCCCAGGCTTACGAGGCTTACCCTGCTGCCCCGGCCTCTTCCTCCGCCGCTGCTGAGTACCCCGCCTACCCTGCTGAGACCCCCGAGGCCTCCAGCTCCATGCCCGCCTACGAGGCCGCTACCTCCTCCGCTGCTGAGTACCCGTCTTACCCCGCTGAGACCCCCTCCGCTTCCATGGAGGCCTCCAAGCCCGCCTACGAGGCCAGCTCCATGGCTCCCGTCTACTCTGCCTCCAAGCCCGCCTACACCACCACCGAGGTTGTCCACGCCACCAGCTACGTCTGCCCTGAGCCCACCACCATCACCTACGGTGTCTCCACCTACACCATCTCCTCCAGCACCACCCTCAGCATCCCTGAGTACACTGCTACCTACGTCCACACCCCTACCCCCGAGATCCCGGCTGTCCCCATGCCCACTGTCACCTCTGCTTCCGTCCCGGCTGCTGAGCACACTGCGCCTGCCTACACCCCGGTTTCTCCCATCTACCCCTCCTCCAACGGCACCGTTCCCCACGTCCCTGCCGGAACTGCTGCTCCTACTGGCACTGGTGCTATGCCCAGCGCCTCCAAGCCCGCTGAGTTCACCGGTGCCGCCGGCAAGGTCTCCGTTGGCTTCTTCGCCATCGCTGGTGCCCTCGCTGCTTTCTTGTAAGCAGTTCGCTCTTGAGTGATTCGTCAGGACTCGGCTCGCCACGTCCTTGCTAGTCTCTTCTCGAGTTGTGGAAAGAGGAGGAAATAAAACATGGCTTCACGGGTTACGACTTCGACTCTGCATCACGATTCAGTCTAGGATTGGGAGCGCGGTGTTGGTGGTACGAGCCCTTTGCTTCCTTGCGCAATCAAGTCGCAGCAGCATTTCGATGGATCGATATACTTGGTATTGTAATACGCCTTGGTTGGAATGCTTACTGGCCCTATGGAGGGAGTCGTGTGGTCCCCGGTGGTCTTTTTTGTTCCTAGACTCTTTGCCTGTTCTGAGAAGAGTTGGCTATCTTAATGACATGATTTCCACCTTTACTTTACGACTTGACTGTCTACCTGATACCCTTCTGTACATATTTTACCATCAATGCATTTTGATCGTAACTTCACATTATTCGCTCCTGCAAACTGTGGTGTAACATCTCCCAACATCGCCGTCTTCAAAATATCCCATGTACTGACGTCTTGACAATCTTTCCTTCTTTACCCTGATCCTCGCACACGAACCACCGTTCAAGTCGGGTCGCCCCTGAGACCCTGCACCGGGAAATTACACAGGCCGCCTTACCCTGCAGCACGTCGTGCCTGGCATGTCTAGCATGTGGCCCCCCACCCATTCATCCGCCCGTGCATTCCCCAAGAACGCCAAAATGCCGAACGCGTCACCTCTTGTCCAACCCAACAATAAATTGACGGCATCTCGGCTCTTGCGACCCTTTGTTTTAGTCACGGCGCGTACATCCATTCCTGATGTTGTTTGCAGGACTTGGGTAGGCGAGCGGATATATTGCTTTTTCGCTTGGAGAGAGGGTTGACGCGTGGCTTGCGCGACGTGTGCCGCGCTGTTCGAGAACGTAGGATTGATGGCGAGATTGTGGGATGCGCTTCCTTCACGAAAACTACGTGCCGAGAGCCGCAATATGGAGAACTCGTTTGGGCAGACCGGTGCCGAATGCGTGTGCATTTGCGCCTGCCGCTTCTACCAGACCACCGTCGCACAGCCGGGGTCAGCTTGTTATCTTCCGGTCACCCAACCATGATCCAAGGAGACGTCGTTGCATGCTACGAAGGTTTATCCGGTCTTATTTGGACATCTTGTATCGGCTAGAGATACCTACCTTGGCAGAGGAAGATTCACATCGGGAAGTAAGCTCAAGACGTGTGAGTCAAAATAGCTTACCGCCATCATCAATATTCTGGAGCTTTTCTCTTTACGCGTCTGCATCTCGAGTGTTTTGGAGAGCTGGGACTGAGATCAGGGTTCTGGGAAGGAACGCTTTCCATCGCAGCTGCCTCCATCCATCCCGAAAGTCTGGTGCAAGGTTACCGCATCCATAGCCTTGGACACAATCGTGCAGCAAACGACTGAACCGCCAGACTACTACAACGAACCGCGATGATGTTCACTGATATCTCCAACATAGAAGTAGCTGACCTAGATACATATCGCCTTCTCGAAGACCGACGCCGATGCCTATGTAGCCGCCTCACTGGTGTTCCCTTCCGCCACATGCACTTCCATATTGGCAGGTGCAAGCGTACCCAGTGGAACAAGATTCAGAGGCCTACACGCCACCGAGGAAAGGCTGCGAGCGTTCGACACAATATGGGCTGGCATTGCATCGCCCGAGACGCTGCCTGCCCCAGCACTAGAAGGCGACCAGAAGATTCTTCCAGTGCATGCTCATATCGAAGACCGAAACGGTGCGGGCACGGAGCCTATCCAACCCTCGTCTCCTCCCCCGTCGCCCGCGCCACTGCGAAAGCGCGCACGAATCGGGACCGTCAATGCGCCAATCCTGCTCTCATCAGATGCCCACAACGAAGACCACACCGAACCGGAGCCGAGGGCTGACGACCACATCAAAGTCGTCTGCGCTTCGAAACTGTACAACGACATGCCTTTCCGGCAGAAGGTCACCAAGGATACATACATCTTCTTGCGGCAGATGCGACCGGACCTTGTGCCTTGGACTGCTAGCATATGGGATACGAACGCCGCTCGTGACGGCACGGTACTTGGCGGTTGCATGTTCGCCTAAGTTGATCCTGCGAAGGCCTACAAGCAAAACAAGCTCGTGAAGAGCCCCGGGATAGTTCTGGAGTATGGGATATATGCTGGTGTAGGTTGCATGCTAGTGCACGAGCTTCTCGACACACTTCGTATGCTAAAAACCGTCTAAAGATAGTAGATCTAGGTATATCCAAGACGACTACAGGAGGAGCTGCGAGTTTATTCAAAGGTAGAATAAACAGGTTTGCCGAATACATCCACATCGAATGTGCCAGTGGGTATTGTTGTGAGCGGTTGTTGCAGTCTATACAGCATGCTGGAAACTTGCATCTCCGACATGAAGCCTGACAGTGTCATCACCAGCGCATGTATCTTTCGCCGGTGACAGCGCACCGTATCGTGCACCAATACCAACCCTTCCTACACTATCTGACTTGCGAGGTCAGCCGCCCAATTCAGCTCCGGTTCGGTGGTAGGAGCATTGAGTACACGCGACAACCGCCTTTTGCATCTGCCGACAACAGCCTTAAGCCAGGTATTCCGCGGCATCCTATTTGATCGGCGAGGCACCTACAAGTGCTCTGATCGCGTATATGTAGCAGGTCGTACGCCAGTGTAGAGCTTAACCATACCAGAGGGCTTGATGAAGCCGGCTTCACCTTTCTCGTCTTCACCAACTCGGGTCACAAGGATATCACAGACAGACGAGTGATCAACAAATAATATGCCAACATCCTTCTAGACAAGTCTTTCTCTTCGTTAATCGCATCGCAAAAACCATCAAAAAGCAGAGAATCGACTCAAGCTGCATACTGGATGCAGCGTCGCGATTCCTAGAAACGAGATTAAAGGTTGCGCAGGCCCCAAGGCGCTCGTGCGAGGGCGTAAGAAACGCTACACTAAGTATTATACTTCTATGTCGCATACAGCCAAAAAGCGCATGTCTCTGAACATCTGCGGAAAGCCGTTAGAGGTATGATAGCTGACTATGGGCTGTTAGCCCAACAGAGTGTGATGGATGTTAAACTCTGAGCCTGTCAAGAGGTCGTCCCTTCCGTCTCAACCACGACAACAGCAGAGAGTGAGGAGGTGCCAAGGGCGACATTGTGATGATGTATAGCCAGTGTGTGAGCGGTGGAAATCAGATGGTTCGGGGTGCAATAAGGAAGCAGTTAGAATTCGAAGGTCATGCGTGCGAGGGCGTTACGACAGCAGCAACACTAGCTAACATCATCACCAACGTCAACAGGAGGGCTATTAGAAGTAGCTGCAAAAAGTGAGCTTAACACATGCTGCTCTCCCGCACCAGAGGGATACCTTGCTTTGCAGTAAAAGCGTGAAACACTCACCTACCCGCATCGCTCATACAGCTGATCTACGGCGTACAACACCGAAAAGACGCTGCGAAAGCAGTCAAGAGGCCTCTGACAGCCTCTCAGCGAACGGTATTGCTATGTTACCCCCATCAACTCCCTGATAGTGCGCGCTGCGGTGATAAGCCCAGGCGACTACTCTAAGACTACGAAGTAGATTTGTAGTTCCATACATCGCTTTGGAGAACACGATATAGGTCATGATCCGGTTTCTGACTGCCATCTTGCTGATCGGACCGTGCATTATAGGCTTTATTAGCTTGGAATATGTCGGCCTAGACTACTATATTGAAGTAGATATAGACGAATACATTCTAATGTATAGGTTTGAAGTACACGATATAGGTTACGATCCAGTTTCTGGCTGCTATCTTGCTGATGGGACGGTGTATTATGGACATTCTTGGCTTAGAATGTGTCGGCCTTGCCTACTACATTAGCACAGATACGGAAGTATAAATCCTAATGCATGGGTCTAAAGCATACGATATAGGTCATGTCGTCGTTTCTAGCTGCATTCCAACCAAATCTGCGGTGTGCGATGCGACTACCACGAAGGTTAAGGCATCAATACGTGCCTCAATATACCCGTTTGAAGCATACGGTGTGAGTCGTGAAGAAGTCTCTAGCTGGATTCCGACCAAATCGGCGGTGTGCGATGAGACTACCGTGAAGGTGAAAGCATGAATACGTACTTCGGTATAACCGTTTGAAGCATACAATGTGAGCCGTAGCGGGGTATGTAGATGTCATGGGCTAGCTACGCGCTATCGAGTGAACTTGATATCTTTGAATAGAACGAAATTCCGTGATGTATCCTTGTACCAAGGTTCAAACATACTTTAACTTGTCGTGTAACTCTTAATATATTCGCAACTACTTGCTTCCACTACGTACATAAGTTTGTTATTTATCCTGGAAATGCAGCATAAACAACCTTGGAACGCATGCTTTGCTCGCCCGGCCGGTTTCACCTATATTAACCACCCCAAGACTTATTCTTGGCCACAACCGCACAAGAGTTCATAGCATTTCACAGTACCAACATGTAGATATAGTCTGACTTAAATCTTTCATTGCACCATGCTACGCTATAAGCCGAAGGTGCCTAACCTAAGCAAAGAGAAAATAGGGTATCATGTTGAACACAGTAAACCAGCCTTCTTCCTCTGATAACGCCTTTTCCTCGATCTCGCAAGATCAGTATCGCATGAACATCGCAGCCTTATGCGCAAGGCATTCCGGGATAGCAAACATTGCTATGTACCACAAACCACTCATGCCACAAAATGACATGATTTGTAGAGCGCACCGTTGGAAGTGAAAACATGGTAAATCGAACTCTTCTACACAGCATGCTTCTGAGTTGCTATGTCAAAGACTTGGGCCGCGCCCCAAATCATCCTCGTCTTAACGCTCATCTGATCTCCATAGCCTCCCTTCTATCTTTCCTTGAGCATCTTCGCCGTCGCCTTGGGCATCTTCTTGTTGTCGCCGAGCTTGGCTATCGAGCTTTCAGTGTGCATGTGAGGTGCTACCTCGACCAGCCACTCCGGCTCGATAGGCGCGCAAGTCATCATCCATTCTTTTGATGTGGCTTGGAGAGAGGCGAATATGCACCACTTCGGTCGGTTATCGATGAGCGGAGAGGAGGGATGGATATGAACTGACAAACCGCTGTTTGCCAATACACGGTAGGTTTGCCCATCTCTTTGCAGCCGAGCTGCATTGGTGAAGAACGCCGCAGTAAGGCACTTCCGAATTGCAACATGATCGGTGCCACATGACGACTCCGGCACTTCGACACGGTCTGCGAGACGTTCGAGCTGGTCTTTTACATCCCTAACGCGATTAAGGACTCGTCCTTGGAGAAAATTCTCCCGTGCCCATGCAAGGTCGTAACCACTCTCGACAAATTGATTCCAGATGTTGAGGTAGGTTAAGAAGTCCCCACCTTCCAGGCTGGTGAAGCGTTTCCGTGCAGCGTCTGCCGCAACCTTCTTGTCCTTTGGGCGAAGCCACACTTGTTGTTGAGCTTCTTGGACGAAGGCGCAGATTGCAAGAATCTCCTCCCGACAGCCATACTTCTCGGACTCGATAATAGCCTTCGATAGCTTGATGTCCAAAGGCAATTCCGCCATTCTCCGACCCAGTCGTGTCAAAGCTCCTGTGGAGTCAAGGGCCGAAATTCTGTACAGCTCCTCGAGTGACTTTATCAGGGCAGCAGGACTGGGGCTGTCCAAAAATTCGAACTCAAGCAGGTTGGTTATACGGAGCTGCTTCAGAGTCAAGACCACTGAGTCCAAGCAGCTTCTTTGGATCTCTGGGGTCGTCTCTTCCGGAAGTTCGTTGTAGTACGCGGCTCGTGTGTATAGGCGATAGCAAAAGCCCGACGACGTACGTCCTGCTCTTCCTTTGCGCTGGTTTGCCGAATTACGCGAGATTGGTGTTACTGTCAGCGATGCTAAGCCTCTGGTATTATCGTAAGTGTTCTCTTTGGCATAACCCGGGTCTATGACATGCCTAACCCCTTCAAACGTCACGCTAGTTTCTGCAATGTTGGTACAAAGCAGGACTTTGCGCACGTCAGGGCCTACTGGGGCGAACGCCAAATTTTGCTGATCCTGAGGAAGGGATGAGTACATTGGACGCACAACGAGTTCTTTGATTCTGGACCCAAGCTTTTTCTTAGTCTCCTCTAGACTTTCCATAGCTGCCTGAATCTCTTCCTCGCCTGTAAGAAAGACCAGGATGTGACCCGGCTCCCCGCTGATGTGAATCTGCATTACAGTTGTAATGCTCGCCGCAAGATAGTTTGCCTCTGGCGCCGACGTGTATAGAACTTGAACTGGCCAGGTTTGGCCTGGGATCTGGAAGATTGGACTGTCGTTGAAGTACTGTGAGAAGTGCGCAGCGTTGATGGTAGCACTGAGGATGAGAAGTTTGAAGTCTGGTCTGGCGCGGCAAACTTCCCTGCAAAGAACCAGTAGCAAGTCGGATGCCAGAGACCGTTCGTGAGCCTCGTCGATCATAACGCAGCTGTAGCTCTGCAGGAGGGGGTCCGTTTTGGCCTCTTGCAACAGGATACCGTCCGTAGCGAACTTGATCTTGGTCTTCGGTCCCGTCTTGTCCTCGAAACGAATGCTGTATCCGACTTCGTTGCCGAGCTTGCAGCCGTACTCTTCTGCTACGCGGCTGGCAACACTCATAGCCGCAACACGTCTTGGCTGTGTCACAGCAATCATACCGTCTTCAGCCAAACCGGCATCGAGAATGTAGCGCGGGATCTGCGTACTTTTTCCACTCCCCGTCTCGCTGACGACGATGATGACCTGGTGCTGCTCCACGGCAGCGATCAATTCATCCCGGTACTTGTAGACCGGCAGGCTTCGCCGAACGTCCTCGATGCTCTGTGCTCTCTTCTCTGCTTCATCCAGCTGACGCTGTAGCATCTGCTTATCCACGTCGACACGGGTCGTTTCATCCAGTTTGAACGTTACTTCCATGGATGTGTCGAAAACGAAGTCATAATTGTCGATGCTGTCGTTTTTCGATAATACCTTAGCTTGACTGTTAACAGCCTTGGTTTGTTGTTCCTCCCAGAGCTCCGCCTCAGACTTCTCATAACCCTTCTCTTTATGTCTCTTCGTAAGAGCCTCGTGTTTACTCGAATAGTCTGAATCAGGAATCATGAACATCCCTTCCGTCCGATCGTCAATCGCATTTCGCGCCTCGGCCAGCTCCAGGGTCTGACGATTCTTCTTAAACTCTGCTCTTTCTCTCTCGCTCAGCTTGTTGCCCAGTCTCTGTTCCTCTTCTGCTTCCTCGGCGACTTGGCGGCGGAGTAGGGCGAGTTGTTGCGCTTCGCGTTCGGCAAGGTATTTCTGGCGCGACGCCAACCTCAAGGCGCTGACATCCTGGTCGCCGGTCTTGCGGCGCTTGGAATCCATGATGTGCGGTAGTTCGAGTGTGTTGGCGGTCGCGCGATTCGGCGGAATCGTGGTGTCGAGTCGAGGGTATGGTATGCGTGTGCGCGCGAGGTTTGTGGGCGTCGAGGGTTCACTCGGATGGTGGAGCTCGACTACGAAATGTTGGAGCTCGGACCAGGTGGCGCGAGCTAGCTAGCGGGATGGAAACTTCGGTTGCCGACTACAACGAGGCTTGTCCGCAACAAGATGAAGACAAAACTTGAGCCTGGAGGATACAACGTCGTATGTTTCGTTGGTTCGTCAGATGAAAAGTTCGTGAAATCCTCAACTTGTCCGCAACAAGATGAAAACAAAACTTGAGCCTGGAGGATACAACGTCGTATGTTTCGTTGGTTCGTTAGATGAAAAGTTCGTGAAATCCTCAACTTATCCGCAGCAAGATGGAGACAAAACTTGAGCCTGGAGGATACAACGTCGTGCGTTTCGTTGGTTCGTCAGATGAAAAGTTCTTGTAGCCTCAGGGTAGGCGCTTTCCAGGTGCTGGTCTTCACAGAGTGGGCTGATGGAAGTTGAGAGGAAGAAGAGTGTAGGAGGAAGGAAGGAAGGAAGGCGGGAGGAGAGCCAGCTATATGGCGTCTCAGAGACTAGCGTGATGGAACCATGGATGAGAGGTGAGAGGTGAGTTGGCTGAAGCATGCCCGGGCGGGTGTAAAAGAGTCACAAGAGTGGGGCCACGTCATAGGCAGCCGCCGTGAAGAGAAGGGACGGTAAAGGTAAAAGTGGAGACGAGGGAATAACGGAGTGGTGGTGATAGGTGAGTTTGCGTATGGACGGTACTGATAGTAGCCATGCACTGGGATTCTTGCGCATGGTGAGAGTGTGGCACGTATCAGCATGAAAGTCATCGCAGACTTTGGTACTGTGCCTGGCATGAATGGGGTGAACACCATGGGTCTGCTACAGGCAGTGCACTCGTTGTATAGGCCCCGGAGAAATGTGCCATACCCGCTAGCGACACCATACTCACAGTGCTGAACAGTACTTTGGCGCAGAATAGCATACGCTCTCGAGCTTATCACGTTGCCTTCGACATCCTTTGTTGAAGCGCATGACCATCTGCAACCCAAACAAAGAAGCCGCCGACATTTATGGAAGAACACGAACCACAACCCCAAACCCTTCGCCGTTGTGCTCCGTACCCAATACTCGCCGTCCAGCCCCAACATCAAGTCGCAACTTCCCTCCCAACCAAGAAACCACCACGCCAAGGACCGCGGATTGCAAATCAACATCCACGGTTGGCCGCACCAACCACATCGATCACTCCATCCGATATGACTCCGTCATTAATCCGAACAGCATGACGCAACGCGTTCTCGCGAATGGGGCAACAGCGATTACACGGCACGTTCGCTTTAGGAATATGCACATCAAGATAGACACCAGTGTGCGTCATGGGCATAGCGCGACAGGTAGGTTTCGGCAATCGCGATGCTTGCTTTCAAAGTCCGTATGCGAGATGCAAACATAGACGACATGAGATGGGGAAGCGCAGTGACCAAATCTTCCCAGCGTAAAGATATCATATTCATTATCATAACCCACTACCCAGCGCCGCCCATCTTAACACCACGCTTCATGAACGCTGAAAACTTCGAAAAAACTATGCAAATGGCACATGCTGACAACACCCTCATCGTGCTCATCCGCACCTTCATCCCACGCCCACACCATACCACCCACTCAATGACTAATATACTGAAACACAGCACTAACATCCCTCAACCCATCGCCCGTCTCCTGCCTCAACAACAAATCCTGAATCTTGCCCAGCGGCCCACTCTCGCCATCATTGACAAAGTGATTCCACGTGCTCGTATCACCGTAAAGCATCGCCGGCGCTTTCGCCACTTGTCTTCCATCTTCCTTTCTACAGCGCTTGCACTTGAACGTGTCGTGTGTGTCACTCGTAGTATTATCGCGGTACTGGAACAACTCGCGGAGAGAGTCGAGTGAGAAATGGCGTTCAACATCCTCCGCGCTGTCGACGACGCAAGACGATAAAGACTGTTTGTGAGACTGGCGCTGGAAGACCTTCTCTTCGATGGTACCAGTGGTGATGAAGCGGTACACGAAACAATCTTTCTTCTGTCCGTCACGCCACACACGAGCGAGGGCTTGTTGATCAGCAGCGGGGTTCCAATCAGGGTCGAAGAGGACGAGGCGGTTCGCGCCGATGAGGTTGAGACCGCAGCCACCGGCTTTGGAGGAGAGGAGGAAGACGAACTCGGGGCTTTCGGGGTCGTTGAATTTGTCGACTAGCTTTTGGCGCTTGCTCACGTTCATGGTGCCGTCGAGACGGAAACAGCCGTAGCCGCGTGAGCGGCAGAGCATGGCGAAGATGTCGAGGGTTTGCGTGTAGTTGGAAATGAGGACGATTTTGTCGTTGGTTTCGGCGCGGATGCGGGCGAGCATGCGATCCAAGACAGCCATCTTGCCGGAGTACCATGTCTTGACCTCGCGATCTCTGCCTCGCGCGTCCTTTTGTACAAAGTCGTCTGGTAGCTTGTCTTCGCACCCTGGTAAGTCTTCTGGTAGGTTGAGCAGGTCGGGGTGGTTGCAGAGCTTCTTGAGCATGCCGATGACCTTGAGCGGCTGCGAGCCTTTGCCGCGGAGTAGACTCTGGACATCGGGTGACTTGATGAAGTGGTTGTACAGGTCCTTCTGGAATGGCGCAAGGTTGCAGAATACGACGTGCTCGTACTTGACTGGCAGGTACTTGGAAAGAATGTCGTTGGTTCGCCGAATGATGAACTTATTGACCAACCCGAGAAGCTCGGTGAGACGCTCAGTACCCTTCTTAATATCCGCATCCGTTCCATTCGCATCGCGACCCTTCAGAATGGGAATCTCGTAATGTTTGCGGAATTCCATGCGCGTGCCGAGGTAGTTGGGGTTGGCGAAGTTGAGTAGCGCAAAGTACTCCGATAGATCGTTCTGGATGGGTGTACCCGAAAGGATGACTCGCCTCTGCACGTTCAGGTTGTTGAGCGCGGTAAATGTCAAACTGTCACCGTTCTTGAGTCGATGGCCTTCGTCGCAAAGCATTAACCCGATAGGTGTCTGTCCAAACTCGTCGGCGTAGAGGCGCAGGGTTTCGTACGACACAATGAGGACGGGTCTGACAACTGCGCGTCCGGATGCGATCGACCACTGCCGTATTTGCTGGATGAGCTCTTCCTTCGATGCCTTGCCGTCAATCGCAAAGGGTGTGACGGCGTCCTTCCCAAGCCACTTGATAAGCTCGTTCGCCCAGTTCCTCACTAAACTTGACGGACAAGCGATGACGCACTTTTGTATCGTCGACTTGCCAGCATCGGGTGACTGCTTGAGTAGTGTCCACATAAGCGCGATACACTGTAGCGTCTTTCCGAGACCCATCTCGTCTGCCATGATGCATCCATTCGCCTTGGGATCGATCATACCCGTCGTGGCGCGATACAAGAACTTCACACCCTCAACTTGATGCGGTCGCAGAACCTTCGCAAGTCTTGGATCAATGACAACCGGCACACGCGGCCGCTCATTGTCCACCTTCTTCTTCAACCCCAGTATCTCCGCCAAACTCTTGTGTACCAGCGGCGCCTCCATCTCCTTCTTCTCTGTCTGACTCAGCTTCGGTTCCGCCTCTTCCTTCGGTATCGGCTTGTCGTCAACTGTAGGATCGTAAAGTACTATCGCAAACTCTCCGCTCGGGTCATGTAGTGGTCGCGCAACAAAGACAGTTCCAGTGCGCATACCCAGCAGCGGTGCCGGTCGATTCGGGTTATAGGCGCCGACATCCTTGTTGACTAAAGGAACGATAAACTTGGTTCTAAATGCGGTGTCTTTGTCTTTCGGCTTGAAGACGGGAAATCGGTTTGCGTCTCGTGTGGCGAGGGCTAACCGGTCTTCATTCGAGTATGGCTTATCGCTCTCTCCATCTTCACCTCCAGCACCGGAGTAATCAACCTTCCTCCTCTTCCTTGCGGGTTTTGTTGAGACACTGGATACTGTTGCTGAGCCGGGGCATCGGAAAGGCTTGATGAGTCGTTCGGTTGACTGTGGAGTGCCACCATAAAGACGCGCCGCGGGCTTCGCCGGGGTGGCCTCGCCTGCTGCGAGAGTTTTCGGCCGATGCATGAAGAATTGACACTTGTGATAGGCACTGTGAGGTTTGGCAGCCTATATCAGGTCGATGTGGTGGGAGATGGGAGGAAAGGGAGTGTCGTGCGGGAGTGCTGATCAGTGCTCCCAGGTGGCGGAATTGCGACGCGTAGATTGTTAGCTCCATCACGTCGTCACGTGGAACGACAGGCAGCATCGTCATCCCACCAACATCAAGAATCTCTATCATACCTAGATCTAGTATCTCCATCACTTTCTGATCGCATTCCCATCATTTCCAAACGTCCAACGCGTCAATCCTCCACCTCAACATACCTCAGAAAACCCTGTGACCGACACCTCCGAGCCCATCTCCGCAAATTCCCCAGCGCCCACCCCAACACGTTCGACATCCCCACCCACCATGGCGCGAAAAGCAATAGCAAAAGACCAAATCGTTAAATTGATCGTAGGCGCAGGGCAAGCGTCGCCCTCACCGCCTGTCGGTCCCGCGCTGGGAAGTAAAGGTGTGAAGAGCATGGATTTCTGCAAAGTACGTCTATTATCTTTCCAATTGTCGCATACATTTCTACGCACTATGGCGGCACCTACAACCTTCATTTTCGATTGCAAAGCCTTATTCAAAGTTGGACTATCCATCTTATGCTTGCCTACGCACTCTTCTCAGCCCCCTCAATCATCGCAAACCCAACCCATACCCATACCCAATACTAACACCCACCGCAGGAGTTCAACGCCCGCACCGCCCACTACACCCCCGGCACCCCCATCCCCGCCCGCATAACCGTCCGCCCAGACCGCTCCTTCCACTTCCAACTGCGCACACCCCCAACCGCCACCCTCCTCCTCTCCGCCGCCGGCGTGCTCCCCACCAAGAACAAGATAAGAGGAGCCGGAAACGTGCCGGGACCCATGAACAACCACGACGGGCAAAAAGGAAAAACGTCGACGAGTAGTCCGACGGTGGGGAACGCTGTGAAAGGGACTGTGGGCACGGTTAGTCTGAAGCATGTGTATGAGATTGCGAAGATTAAGCATGGCGAGACGAGGTTGAGTGGGTTGAGTTTGGAGGGCGTGGCGAGGAGTGTGGTGGGGCAGGCGGGGAGTATTGGGGTCGTGGTTGTGCCGTAGATGGGGGAGGAAGTGCTGGGAAGAGGTGGATATTATTGGAAGTAGATGAGATGGAAGAGCACTGGAGTCAGCAAGAAATCTTGCCTGGAACAGGAGCTGTGGAACGAGACTTGGGCACATGGCATACTCTGAGGGTATTTACGTGTTGAGTGGATAAGAGCTTGTACATATACTGTATACTTGGATAGACTCATGATGCATGATCAATTTCGACTGTATATGAACTGGAATGCTGGAGTGGAATTGTGATTAGGATGAGTATGACGAGGCTTTTATGCCAACATATATTTGACTGTATCTAACAATGATTGCGACAAGATAGCAATGACACTTCCTACTGTTACATCTTCACCCCAAATCTTCCCGATACGATCCTCATTGCGAGAGTAGCATCGGCACTGTAACTGCGTTCCATCCGTTCGAACTGGTGCTCATTATTACCTTGAGTGCCCAGCGCAAACCATCAGCACCGGCATGCTCCAATGCGATCTCGTCACCTCGCAATAAAGACCAGCGCCGTCATAAAACTCCTTCATGTCTCTCCCTCACGAAAACCCATAAACACCCCCCTGCTCCTGGAACCTCAACTGATGATCCCTCAAATCCGCCCAAAGCCTCAATTCACTCTCCTCATCCAACGCGCCACTCGGATCACTCGCCTCAGGACTTACCCTCTCCAACTTACTCAAAATATCCAAAAACTTGTAAAGGTAATCCTGATGCTGCAACGCCACACTCCCCCGTCTCTCCTTCGGCACCTCAAGCAGGGTACTAGCAATCGAGCGAATCTTCTGCGTCTGTGTCGACATGAACCGTAAGCTTGCGATCGGGCTGATGGTGTTTGGGCGAAAGAAATCACGTGTCGACATGGAGATGACGTAGTCGTCAATCTCATGGACGGGGTAGAGGAAATCTGAGTTTTGCAAGTAAACGTAGAGACTTACAAAGGAGTCGCCGTTGGGCTCCATGTTGACCATGTCGATGCTGCCCAGGACCACGAGGAGGTCTTTGACCACTTGTTCGCGCTCTTCTGACATTGCCTTTTCGAGCGCGTCGGAGTCGGTTGTCGTTCCGGATACAAACCTGTCGATTCCTGCTGCGAGGACGTTGGACGTGTTTTGCGCACCAGCTTGGCCCTTCGACCGCTGATACTTATCCAGTTGAAGGAAGTACTTTTCCACAAGGTGCGAGCGAGTGGACAGATGGCTGGCGTAGATGTTCGCTTTCTGGATCTCGTAGCGTCGCAGTTCGTGCGCTTCCGGTTTGTGATGTGTGTCCATGGCGGGGTCTCGCATCCCAGAGTATTCTGGCATGGGCGGGTAGTAGGGTTTCTGCTGTTCGAGCCCATTATTGCTGCTGGACTTTGGCCGGACTTTGAGCACCTCTGGTAGGCTGTCCAGAATCTGCCTACAGCGCTGCAGGCTTTGGGCGAAGATCTGTTGTTGCCGATCCCAGTCGAATATCTCGTCAATGCCAAATGCCATCTCCGCCGTTGCTAGCGACGAGTATGACAGAAAGATGCGCACATTGATGTTGAACCCAGTGAGCATGGAGACGACCCCTTCACGCTGCGGTTGTATCTCATTTGGGAAGATGTGTACATCGTCGACTTCTCGGGGGAGTGGTGGTAGAGGCTCGGTAGGTGTTGCAGGCGCAATCATCAGCTCTCCGAAAGAAGCGCCGAGCTGTTGTATGGTCCTGTCAAAGTCAGTCATGATCGATGCCAGGAGAATGCTAAACATACCGCACGCCCACAAAGACCGTCCAGAAGACGCGCCGACCAATCTCCTCGGTGATGTAGTCTACTTTAAACTCTCTCGAGCCGTCGTGGTTCGGTCCGTTGGAGCCCCACGCACTCGGCATGCCACCGAGATAGGTATAGCCCTGAGCCTCGGGTTTATGGAGACCCAGGGAGCGGATGATGGTCAGGCACTCGGCCAGGTACAGTCGCAGTTGCCGCCATTGGAATACGTAGGCTCCGGTCAAGCCGAGGAAGTAGCTGGTACACGCGTCGTACACGTTCAAAGAGGGCCGGTCGAGATAGCCAGGCCCTCGCGCCCGCGCGCACACGTCCCGGCACTTGTCGACGAGGGAGAGGTGATTTGGGTATTCGCGTCGCGTCTGCGTGTTGAGATGGAGGCGTGGTTTTCGAGGGAAGGACGCGACGAGGACCGCGATCATGGACGCCAGCAAGGCGAGGAACGACGGATTCGTCAGGTCCTCCCTATGCCCCCATGCCTCGCGGAATGACGGCTCGTGCGGAAAGGGACATAGCGGATGTATGAAGGTGAAGAAGTCGTCGATGAGGGCGTTCAGGGTGGGCAGGGCGCATATCTCTTCGGCGGAGAGCTGGGCTGGATGCGACGACTGCAGTTGCGCCAGCGCATGGGCGGCATTGGTAGGAGACTGCGGCGTCGACGACTCGGAGTCCAGGTCGCCTATCCTGCGCTTCTTGATCGCTTCGGCATGCCTATTGGGCGGTCCGCGTCGTCGGCTCGGGCGCTCAAAGGTACATGGAATCTCCAGCGCGAGGCACGCTCTACACGGCGGGCCCGATTCGTCGCACTACAGACGTCAGTGTCTATCACAGTATGATGACTAAATGTGCCCACCTTGACTTTGCGAATGCTGCACGAATCACAAGCTTTGCGCAGGCGGTTCGGCTTGGACTGCTGCGGCAGCGGAGGATTCAAGGCATGGTTCGCTTGGAGAGCCTGCTGGGCCTGGAGCACCTCGTTGATATTCTCGAGCTTCGGGTATGCGGCTTCTTGCGGGTAGGCTATGCGCGACGACGGTGCCTGACCGTCGAGAACCTGCCCGTTGGGATACAAGGGCGTGTAATTATGCGGGTCCTGGCCGTCTGGTGGTGCAGGATACTGCGACGCATGCGGAGAAGAAGTCATGGCGTAGCCGCAGTTCTACCGTGACGAGGGAAGGACGTTGGCTGATGTCCCGTTAGCTTCCGGTTAAACAAACAACTGCTCGGTAGCTTCCAGATGTATCAAGACGACAGGGCGCGATCAACTGCCTGACCGAACGTGACAGGTCTAGTAGAGCTTCTAGTAGGCTTACTTGCATACAGGTTTCGCGGTCCGATCAGACGCGGCAATTACCGACGCGGTTAGATGGATACAGGGACAAGGAGAGATGGCCTGAGACCGCTCGCGGTATGCGATTGAGTGTAACAAGACCAGATGCTAGCAATTGGAAGACGTGGACGGTTTAGAGTTGGTGCTGGACATTGCATGCTCATGGCATGAAAATTCAGAGGCTGTTTCAAGCTACAGATCATGTTAGGGCAGGCACGATCCGCAGGACGAAAACATCTTCTCCAGGACCCCCAGTCTCGTTACACCACGCGTGATGGTACTCGTTTCTGCATGAATGTAGACCCATTGTCATAACATCATGTCCAGATTTCATTTCCGCTCAATGACGCAATTCAGATAATCTCTTAGCGCGTCGATCTTATCGAATGGAGTATACTCCGAGATCCACGAACGCATGTTCGTCCGATGAACGAATCGCGTAGACAAACATGTCATGGACGCGTTCATTTTGCTCAGATTTGACATTTGGACCGGAGACGACATCGATAAAAAGAATGACTTTCTGTGTCAACGCCCGCTAATCCCTTCAAATTGGTATATATGCTCGCATCACCATGCCTCTAACATCTCAACCCACCGTATAAGTCAGTTCCTCTTAACATTAACCCCCCATCGCCACCACTCCCCACACCCCTACCATCCATCATCCCCATCAGGTTGTCCCCATTCGACAACCTCATCCCCCTGTCAATCGCTATCATCACTATCCGGCGAGCTCCTTGTCGGCGGCCGCGAACTACGCGACAGCGAGAAATCCAGAATGTCCGACTTGGAGCCCGCATCGATAAACTTGCGCAAACACCATCCGATCTGCACTGCCGTCGAGGTTTCGTTACCGAGTGGATCGATTTGACGGCCTTTGACAAAGACTAGAAGGTGGGTTAGTAAAAGGTATTCTATGGCTGCGAGGGCGATACGTACTGATCTGGTTCTGACTATCCTCACGGTCATACACCTTGTCCGACGAGCCAAACGCGATGATACCCAACTTCGAACTCCTCTCCTTCTCCTTCGCATGAGCGGCGCTACGATCGAAGCCCTGCTGTGCCAAGCCAGCAAGCAAGTGTTCGTAGATCTTGCGTGGTAGCTTAGTCGATGAAGGGCTGTTGGTAGGCCAGGTAGTGATGTTGAGAGTCGCCAGATTGCGTAAATCACCAAGGCAGTTCTCGAAGTTAACGAAGCTGTCGTTCTTGCTGCGGATGACGCTGACGCCGGGGAAGGCTACGGAGATTTGCTCAAGCAGTGTGCAGTCTTTGCAGATTTGTGAGAAGGAAGCGTAGTCGTAGACGAGCTCTTCGTCGCAGCTGTCGGGACCGGTGCTTGCGTGTACGTTGAGGCTTTTGAGTGTTTTGCTGTGACGTACGATGCCCGCGGCGGCTGGCAAGGCCTTGACGTATGTGAGGTCAAGAGTGAGCGTCTCGATACCCGAGACGAGAACGAGGAAGCCGTCGATAGCGCCTAAGCCGTCGTTCTCTGCGTTATCATCGTGTTTGAACTCCAGTGTCTCCAGCTTATCCGGCAGCTTTGAGCTTTTGCTGAGTTCCGCGAACAGGGCATCAGCACCAGAACAGCCGAAGATGCGGATGCTCTTGATGGACCGGAAGTCTATCAACTTGCAGTACGTTTCCGAAGCATAGCGCAGGTGTAGCTTTTGTAGCGTAATCTCATTGAGTGTGATCGGCGTGCACTTTGCGAACGGCTGCATATGGCTGAACATAGTCGAAGTAATGAGTCCAGGCGCATTGACCGTATCGTTCAGCTCGCGCATGGTAACGGTCGGATCCATCTCATCGAAGCTCGCATGCAGCGTAATCTTCTCCAGCTTGCGCCCAGCCACGTTCTTCAGCAAGAAGTGACAAAAGTCCAGGACCTCGCGTGAGTCTGGGTATAGGCCAAGCTTCCGCACTTCCTGGAAGCACGTCTCAATATTCGGCAGCTTCTGTAGTTCTGGCAGAACGTTGCGATCCAGCGAAATGCTCTCCATCCACCGCATGCGCTTCTGCTTCTTGTACAGCAACACCAGATTATCTCCGGAAAACGGCGACCACGGGTGCCACGAGAACTTCTCTAGTTGGTTTTCTGGTAGCAACTCCAAGATCATGCGAATAGCAAAGTTGGCTTGTTGCTGCTGGTTGCATTTGTCCAGGACATCTGCGAGGTAGAGGTCCAGCTTCCGCACATGTTGTAGGCCGATGTTCTTGGGGTTGAGGAAGGCTGCGAGGCGCGTATCGTGGGGTGAACCGACGTCGAGGGTTACTTCGTAGTAGAGTTGGCGGACGGTGATCTCGTGGAGTTGTTTGCAGGTGAGGCAGAGGTTCTTGAGGTCGGTTGGGCGGTTGATCTGTGTGGTGTAGCGTCAGCCTGGTGCTTCTTCTGCTACTTTGAACCCACCATCAACCCAGAGACTTACATGCTGGACTATCAACGTCTTCAGATCGACCGAAAGGTCCATAAACGCCAACCGCGGCGCCATCATGTGTGCTTTTCCTCGACTCCCTCCAGATATCGCAGAGAGCACCCCGTAGCAAGTTCGCTCGTCGCCTTATCGATATGCGCGGCCGTCTACGTAAGTCTTGTTGAAGTCTTTCTTCTCCTCTGCTGCCTAATCGCCCGCAAGATAGACAGCTGCAGTCGATCGCAATACGTCCGGCAAACTGACCGGTAAAAGTGGAGTAGGAGCGGAAGGGTTGATGGGGCAGGAAAAAGGAAGTAAGCGCGCAGGCAAGCAGCCTTTCGTAGGTTCAGCCTCACTTGTGTCCCGCCAAAGACCCACCCACCGATGTAGCTCCGCCCAAGAACAAGGGTCCACGCGGGAGGTGAATAGCGCTAACCTAAGCGACAAACTGGGGTAAGCTTGGGCTGTGAACGCGTGTGCAGCGCTGGCTGGTTGTAATTGGAGCGAGGTGGGGAACAGGGAGAGGGGAGTGGTTTGGATGACAGCTCGGTCGCAATGCAATCGATCGTCCCAACAGTCCAAGACAGTTTTCTAACTCTCGCGCTCCAGCCTGGATCTAGTTATAACATTGTCAGCTACGTCACCTCCACGCATTCATACATTCGTTGTTCAATCAGCTACCCGCTGTTAGAAACGCCAGGCATCTACAAACACGTTCAAACATCACCAGAACAAAGCAAAAAGCTACCGTAGTACATCAGGGTAACAAATCACAATACACAAACGCATTAATAAGCGATCGTAGGTGCGCAGGTGAGTATGCAAAAAGATAGTTATCGGATAAGAGCAACAAGTTCCATATCCATCCCGAACCCCTATCATTCCATCTGCATCTCTAACATCCTCCTTCCTCTCCATCTCCCCCATCTTCACCCTCTACCCAGCAACAGGCCCTCCCCCATACGCCTCCGACCCCATCGCCGCATACGCCATCCCACCCGCCGTCCTCCCCGTCTTAGCCATCTCCCTCCCCGCAGCCGCAGGGTCGTATTTCTTTGGGCCCTCTTCATCGTCATCTGAACCGTGTCCGTTCCCCGAGGGATTCGCGTTGGTGGTGTCGGGGTGGGGAGCCCATTGCTCTGAGTGAGGGTTTTTGGGCGAGAGGGAGGAGGTCATGCAGCCCATTTTGGGTGGGTGTTGGGTGAGGGTTTGGGTGAGTGTTGGGTGAGTGTTTGGGGTGTTGGTAGTGTAGTGTTGGTACGGTGATGCGATGCGATTGGATGGGGGCGCGTAGAGGTGAGATTGATAGTGGGTTCTGTGTGAAGATTGTGGGTAGGTAGGTAGATAACAGATCTTAGTTGTGGTACAAGATAATTGCGATGAGTACTACACAGTATCTCCTCAAAAAGTCCCTACACTCCAATCCTCAAAAACAAGCAGAACCCCAAAAGCTTATATCCCCCTTCCAAGCATGAATCCTTCCAAACTCCTAAGCGATGCACACCACACCCACCATCCATGGATTTACCCGGACAATCAACCCGTGGGCGGAGTCAGGGGCTGTGCAAGGCGAACATCAAGGCGAACATGATTGCTTCCGAAGAAAGCATTATAAAGGTTGCTCAACTCGGGGTAACGCTGAGAAACGCCAATGATGCGCTCTGTATTTTCGAAGGAATGCGCAAATCGTTTCCGAGGTCATCTTTATCCCATATGGCACACCGCTGTGACTTGCTGCTCCGCCACCGCCGCCGCCACCACATATCGTACCCGACGTCCGCGTGGAAAAGTCACAAGCGGGAAAACATGGTGTATGAGCGCGGTAGAGTGGCAGTGGGCGGTTCTCAGGCAACAATAGTTGAGATGGGTACGAGCGCAATGTAATATCACTTCAACAGTCCCTTCAGTAATAAGACATGATATCAAGCCTGCAGCCTACATCAAGATGGAAACATGCAAAGCAGGCTCCCCAATGTCAACGTAGACCCCAGGGTGTTCAATTGTTGCATTTCCATTTCGCCTACAGCAGCATTCTCACCCTCTCTGTTCTAGCCAGTCCAATTCCCCTTGAAGCACCACCCCAACCCAAACCCTCGCCACCCAAAAGCGAGCGTAACCCCTAAACCCACCAGAATATATAAAGTAATAAGCAACGCCAAACAGCCAAGAACACCTCGCTATGCAGACAGGTAGACAGGTAAGAAGCTGAAAATCGCATACCACACACCTTCTTACATGGGAAAAATAATCATGCCCGTTTAAAGAAGACATGGAACCAGTCACCTTGTACGCGGAAAAGGATGAACAGGTCTGCAGACTACATCAGAACAGAGTAAGTAAAACTACAAAACTAGATAGTAATGTAGTCTTCATAGTGTTCAGTTTCTCCTAGGTCGACGGGTCAAATACTACTCCTCACCATCACTATCCCCGAAGCCAGCCAGTAACTCCGCTTCAAGACCATCGTCATAGTCGTCCTGGAGATCTGGCGCCGTCGTCCCATTTGCCTCGGGATTTTTCATCTCCTCGTCGTCACCGTCTACATCCCCCTGGTCTTCTTCCGGCCCCGTGGTTTCCGGGCTGGGTAGACCTGATTTATCGGCGGTAACGACATTTGTGAGTGACGTCACCCGCTCCATGGTACGTTTCTTCCGCCGTTGGAGGCGCGAGGTGGTGCTGTTGACGCTGCTATCGCTCTCCTCCGTCTCGCTGACGTCGGTGGAGTTTGTGCGTTTCCGCTTCTTCTTGGCGGCTTGTTGCTGGGTATCTGATGCGGTGCTGTTGTCTGATCGGACGCTGTCGGAATCTGATTCGCTGCCGCCGCCGTCTGTGTCGGTTTCGTTCATGAAATCAGCGAGCTCGTCGTCGAGCTGCGCCCAGTCGTCGTTTGACATTTCGACTACGGGGGACGCATTGTCTGCGGCTTCATCCCCTGTTCCGTCGAGGCTCTCATCTTCCAGGTCGGCGATGGGTGAGCCGCCTCGCTCCGCCGCATCGGTCTCGATTATGTAGGGTGTCTCGTCTACATGCTCCCATCTGGTGCAGCATTGGAACATCCATTCGGGGTTCACGATTTTGATGTGGGGGTATCGGGCGGCTCGCTTTACTTTCGTCGTCTTTCGATCGGGGTTGGCGATTACGTGGGTCGTTCTCCGTGTAACGTTCGTAGTAACTTCTGCGCCAAAGCTTCCGATCCATAGTGCGAAGTCCGATCTGGGGAGGGTTAGCTGCGCTCTGCGACTTCGCTGTCGAGTACTTACGTTAGGACATCCACACCAAGCGGAATAATACCAGAAAAGACAACCACCGCACCATCGAGCACCTCGCTCTTGATGCGCGGCATAATCTCAGCTACATCGGGAATGACGTCTTCTTCCATGGAGCGCTTCTTTGGGCTCTTCTCGCCCTTGAGCTCAGCCACACGACCGCCTGTTGGCACCTTCTTGGCCTTCCTGTATTCATCGTAGAATGTGCGGTGGACGAGGTTGAGGTTGTGTTCGATGACGTCGAGCCCTCTGTCGTCGTCGTTGAGGATACTATGTCGGACCTTGGGTTGTTCGACCGGTCGTGAGTCGCGAGTTTCAGCTTCGGCAGGTGTCTCTTCATCCTCCCTGTCCTGCATGAGCTGTTGTTGTAGTAAAGGTCGCTCTGTTTGTTGCGCTATGATGAGCTTCTCCTGCTCTTTGGCCTGCTCCTCCAAATCTTCAGTTGCTGCTAATGATATGAGTTGCTGTCCCAGCTCGTTCAAATCACCATTCGTAGTTTCGGTCGTGGTCTCGAGCGGCTTGCCTGGGACGGATACGACACTCGTCGTCGCGTTCTCAGTTGTGGCCTTCTTCGGTGTCGGGGGCGATTTGTCCTTTGCGAATGACACAAGCTCCTGCTGCTTAGGGAGGAAGCTCGCGTTGATATCTCCAGCGCCGGGGAAGAAGTTGAATACGGGCACGCGGACGAGGTGCGGGCTGTATTGCCAGACGTCTGCTCGGTCGTCAATGATAACGCACATGGCTGTGTTCTGGTAGAAGAGCCGCGTCAGACTCTTGAGCTTGTCTGTGTAGTTCTCGTCGCGGCTGAGGATGCGGTCGCCAAAGTACTTGCGCTCGGGATCGATGATCTTTGCGACGGCTTGCGCATACGCTCGGGTGGCCATTGTGTAGACGTGCATCTCGTAGAGCTTCGAGACTCGGTCGAAGAAGTCCTTGAGGCCTGGGCGCATCTTGACATAGTACCAGTTTGCAGCCACGTTGGAGACATTGTCGTCGGCCAACTGGAAGCCCTGTACGTCTTTGACGGCATCGTGGTTCGGGTTTTCGGGGTCGGCTTTCCACTCGGCAATGGTGCGCTCGCAGGTGGTGTGGATGACGGTCTGGTCCAGATCGACAATGAGGGTCAGCTTGCGCGCGCTCAACAGGCGCTTCTTGGCGTCCTCCTCTGCCGCTACCGCCTCCTTGTGACTGACGAGGAGCGCCGTGTTGTCGTGCGCCATGTTGACCGTTGCGCGTCCGACATCGAGCTCTTTGGTGAGGTAGTCGACCTGCGTCATGTCGCGGCCGCAGTCGACGCAGAGGCCGCCAAACTGTGTCTCGTGCGTGCATGGCTCTTCAATCTCGAGGAGCGGAGTTCTGCGGGCGTGTTAGCATGTTGCGCGCACAGCAGGCGCGCGGGAGGCCTACCCATATCGCTCAATGACGGTGCCGGGCTTGATGAACCAGCGCGTGATCTTTCCCTCTGTGCTCGCGGCAAACGTCTGCCTGAACTTCTTCATGACCGTCTTCTCGCCTCCCCACTTGTCGCCCTCGGTGACGCGACTGTCATAGCTGTAGTTGAACAGCTTGCCCGACCGCTGGACGTCATCGTCGCGCTTCTTAAGGAGGTCGATGACGGTAACGGGATAGCTGAGATCCCGGGGCGAAACGATCTTCATGCCGAGGTGAGGCAGCCCATGCGACTGGCGACGTGGTGGTGTTGGACGTGGGCGCGTTGTGCTTCGGCTCGGCGCATTCGGCACTCCCGCGGCGACGAGTGGTGAGTGGAAGCTTGGTCGCAGTCGCGATGCGCTATGACGTCTGGCGCCAACGTGCTGAAATTAAGTTGAGAGTGAAGGTGTAGTTTCCGGATGTGGTGCGACGGGCTAGGTGGAGCGTGGGTGAGACCTCGGAGAAGTAGAAACCTGAATAGGTTTGCAGACTACACTACGATAGCGCAAGTAGATTGCAAGATCTGGCGTCAATGTAGGCTCCAGTGTGTTCAGTTTATTTCGTGTATGAGGTGGTGAGGTGCTGCGCGACCGGGGTTGACGTATGGCGTCGCGGCTCGGTTTCCCCCAAATATTTGGGAGCGAGGGGCGGCCATCTTTATACCTCTCAGCCACCATACTAGCGCGACTGCCACTACCTCAAACATGCCACCAAAGACAAAGAGCGCTCTCCAAATAGGACGACGCGTTTATCACCAGTCATCACGAGTCCATCCACGAACTCAACGGTACCTATTATTGGGAATCGATGCAATGCTTTTTCCGCGATACCTCCTTCGACTTGGTAGGGTAGTAGTGGCCTAGACGCGTCTGAAGCCCCGAGGAATGCCAAGACTTTACCCTCGCGAACACCAGGCTACGACATTGCACGATCGATCTGTGGGAGATGGCTTATCTGACGTATACGCACGATTTTCATAGCCTTGAAGTCCTATGCAAGTATACTCTTGATGCCCACATCTGCGCATGCCGTATTCTTTTGACTCACTAAAGATGTATGTAGCCCTCACACACCACAGGCACGGCTTCTTACCTAGGTACGCTGCACTTGATCGTGAAAGATACCCCGGACCCTCTTCGAGCGATATATCTTGTGCTCTGGGAGATGCGGTCTCACATCACGTGCCATTTCCGCTAGCAACCCGTTCTTGGGAAAATCGACGTCTTTAGAGTGCACCATGCGGCGACATAACATGATATGACTCGACAGTTTTATACTCTTGCCGCATACACACGTGCTCGATGTATAGATTCGAGTCATCAGAAATACATGTAGCCCTCACACATAATAATGCGACTTCTAGGCTGCACTTTAGCAGCATTGCATTCGCCATATCTACACACACAAACTATCAAGACTCAACTATCACGAACATCATTCTGCGGCCTATGATATTCTTAGTCGCATACGAGCAGCAACATATTCGGGGTGATCCGAGATTGGTCAAGCAGAAGATAGTTGGTAGCACTCCACGTTTAGGCAACGACGATCTACTCATCAGCCCCACCCCCGTCCGTCAAACGCTAAACCGTCAAATACACGCGACCTCTTCTTTGTCTTTCGCGCTCGAGCCTAAGGGGTGTTTTCGCGAGAGAACCTTGGCTGTGTACATTAGGGGGGGGATATTTGGTAACGGTGGTTCGCCAGGCTGTTCGTCTGAAGTGGTCGTCTCCATATACACGCGAACACGCTTTGCACATGAAACTGCGTGCTCATCCACCATTCCATTACCTACGGCTAAATACGCTCACGACCAAAAAACAACATGTGCGCAGAGGCCCATCAAAACCACGTGGTATCGTAACAATCTACTCTATAACATCATGCAGAATCCCAAAAACGCCCTAGACCCATCCCTACCCAAAGCCAAGGCCAAAGCGATATCCTTGCCGCGATAATTAACGTGTGAAGAAACCATCATCTTCTAACCCACTCCCTCAACCCCCTATCCCCAGCTCACTTCTCCTTCCTACTCGTCTTCCCCGCCTCCTCTCGTACCATACTCCCCAGCACCGCACTCCCACCCCCCATCCTCTCCGCATCCTGCTCCACCCCCACCACCGGTTCCTTAACCACATAAGGATGAGAAACCTCTGCTTTCTCGCCCCCATCATCAACAAGTGTCCAGTCGTCTTCGTCGCCGAACCCATCGTCTGTAGCATCAGCATCTTCATAACCAGGCTGTTTGCCATGAGTCTTGATGAGCGTGCGTGCGCGGTCGAGTTCGCGGTAGATGGTTTGGATGGCGACTTGAGTACCGTTGTCCTATGAGTCAAATGTGTTAGGAAAACCGACTTCTGAAAATGGATGATGGAAAGGGATAGTGGAGGAGTGTGGTTGACTTACCTTCCTAATCCTCTGCCCCAACCTCTTAGCCCTCCCAATATATCGCTCATTATTCGTAACCTCCCAAAGCGCGCGACTAAACACACTAGTGTTGACCTTCTTGAGCCAAATCCCCACATCAAGATCCTCAATGCGTTGCGCAAAGAAGAACTGGTCGCCGAAGAAAGGTTTGATAATCGTTGGTATACCAGCGCGCAGACTAGCACCCGTCGTACCACTCCCACCATGATGCACCGCCGCGTCCATTTGCTTGAACAACCAGTCGTGGGGCGCAGATTGGATCTGGAAGATTTCGGGGGGCAGGGGGATTTCGGGTTTGGACGCGTCTTTGGTTTCGAGTCGGTCGGACCAACCTTTGGATAGGACGCAGCGGACGTCGGCTTTGAGGACGGAGTCTACGACTGTTTTTGTGAGGGCGGCCGGGTCGTCGATGACGATGGAACCGAAGCCGACGTAGACAAGCTTCTTGCCGTCGTCGCGCGCCTTCTTGATGAAGGCGGTTAGGTCCGCTGGAGGTTCGTAGCCCTCGCTCTCGTCCAAGAACCAGTATCCGGTGACGCGGACCCAGTCGGGCCAGTCGAAAGGCGGCGGTACTACGTGGGGGCTGAAGTTATACAAGAACGGTCGCGTGTTCGCCTGCATCTTACGCATGGTCGTGGGCGGCAGTCCCAGCTCGCGTCGTCGCCAGGCGTTGATCTGCCCGGAGATGGCTAGCCAGAACATCTTGTCGAAGATTCCGTACGTGAACTGGTTGTAAGCACCGCCCTGCTTGTTTTCCATGACGGCAAATGCGTGGGGGTAGGTTCGCGTGCGCGTCCATGGCATCGTGAAGGCGCGGAAGTACGGGACTTCTAGAGCCTCTGCGATGTGAATACCAGCCATCGTGCTCGGGCTCTCGATGATCAAGTCTGCACCTTGACATGCCCGCCAGGCTGAACTACACACGTCGTCGAGCCATCCGCGGAACTTGGCGTTGGCCTCTCTCAGGAAGCCGACCGTAAACATACCGTGCTCGACACAGATTCGCATGAGCTCAGCTGGGTTGCCGTCGACAACCGCGAAGCCGATACCATGCTTCCGCACCCAGGGCTCAAATTCAGCATGAGTCGCGATTTTCGCCTCGTGTCCCTCCTTGATCAGCTCTTTGCATAGCGCAATATATGGCTGCACGTCGCCTCGAGATCCGATAGTAAGGCAACCGATTTTCAGCGGCTTCGGGGGCTTGAAATCGATGATAGAGGCGAGAGGGTCGTCGAATACGAGTGGGATGCGATCGTGCTCTGCAGCGCGTACGACTTCCGATACGTCCACCTTCTTTTCTGTGTCGGTATGGTCACGAGCCTGTTGTAGCAGGTCGTGCTCAGCCTTTGCGGCCTCGTCCTCGCTGTCAACGCCCGAAGAAGAATCATCCTCATCGTCGAGATACCTGTTATTCTCTAGGACGCGATGCACCATGATGGCACATTCATCGCGATACTCTGCTTTTGAGAACTCGAAGAAGAGCTCTTCATGGCCCTTGATGACGACAGCAAGACCATGGTAGCCCAGTCGGAATCCCTTCTCCTTGTTGACATTCTCGATATCCCGCATGGGAATGATGACCTTAGTCTTAGACGTGGGCAGCAGGCCGCGGAAACAAAAGTAGTTGCCACTGATATAGATCTTGCCGTAGTTTGGTAGGACGCGCTGCAGCGACGCAAAGAACGACGACTGCAACACCTCGGTGTCGGGGAAGGCGAAGTGATTTTGGAAGTTTTCCGCAGCCTTCGCCGCGTCCTCGTCGTCCTCGAAACCATGAACCTGATCTCCAGTCTCTAGTCCGTCGGCAGTGGTATAGTGTTTCCGCCCGCCAGCGAGCATACCAGACACCTTCTCGTAGTAACCCATGGATTCTGTCGCGAGTAAGTTACCCATCTTTTTCGAGCGGGTCCTGAAGAATCCCGCTAAGCCCGACGCCTTCTGGAGCGGGTAGGAGGCGATATCTTGTAGAGCGGATGAGGACCCTGATAGGCGAGGTTGTGCGCTAGTGTCTGTATCGTCGTCCAGATCAGGCGCGCCTGTCGGTGTTTGGGGTTGCTTTAAGCGATGCGCAGTGTTTGCGGATTTCGGTTGGCCCGAACGCGCTGTGTCTTGTGAATCTCTGGCTTGAGTGTCTAGCTTGTGTAAAGGCGCGTTGATTGCGTGATTCGCGGGACCACGGAATAAGTCGGAGCGGTCCAGTATTTGTGAGGCAGAAGCGCTGCTTTCATCCATGGATTGTATGGCGACAGACGATTCGGTACCCGGATCGAGTGAAAGATTGGCTGACTCGGAATCCGCTCCTCTAGGCGACAGAGGAGTTCGGTCCCCTGGACGACCTCTACCACTGAAGCTTCGTCGCGCTTCATTGCTTGGTCTTTGTACTTCGCCGCTCGGTCGTCGAAAGGTGCGGCTCGCGTCCATGCTACGTCGCACGTCCCAGCTCCTTCTGTTGGCATCATGGCTAGACCGAGCAGATACATCGCTTATGCTCGACCTTCCTGCACGCGGTACCTGCAAAGGCGAAAGCGTAGCGCGAACGTTTTCATGTATGTGTGGTGTCTCAGCAGTAGTGGTTGGCGATGCTACAGATTCGCGTTGACCTGTCGGCGTAGATGCCTCGCCGTCAACACCTTGTTGTAAGGCTTGATGGTGCTCGTTGTCATTAATCATGATGCGTAGAACGTTGAGCGCATCTTGTCCCTGATTGAAGAACGAGAAGAAGTACTGTTGGAGTGAGCAAACATCCTATTCGTATGATAGGGAAGAACACATACCTCATCGATAGCAAACGTCTCGTCGT